GAATGTTCTTAGAAAAGCCTACTTCTTGTGTTCTTTGAATAAAAAAGAGACCATGAGCAAGAAGAATTACTTGACATTATAGAATTAGGACATTATAGAAGTCCTAATCCATGCAATCTCTGGTCAGCCTAAAGATAGAAGACTGTAGTTTCAGTGAATGAAAAAATCAAAATTCCCGGGTCCTAAAGAGCTTTCATATCCACAAAAATGTTTGAGATAATGATTTGGTCTTTGAAAGTCATTTAAAACAGCTGATTTCAGAATAATGAAAAAGCTGGAAGGCCTCTGAGGAAACAAAGGCAGGCCATGGAGAGGCGTGACTGAAGACAGCAGCTCCTGCTGCTGCTGTTCCGAGATCATGATCTGTCTAGATAAAGAATGTCATTTCCCCACAGAAACTGTGGAGGAATTTGTGGAATCTTTCAGTTTTCCTGTGGCCCTAAAGACAGTGTGTCCGGGTGAAATTGCAGTCTGATAGAAGACCTTTTTTTCTTTGATTCTGTCATGCAGTGTCATAGTACTCAAGTCAGCAGTAGTTGGCTCAGCACATGAAAAGGGGTAGTGTACCTGGGAGTGAAAGTGAGATGATCCCGGGAGGACCTGGCACAAGAGCCTGGCACTGAGGGGGGCCTGGCCACTGTAAATGTGCTTGTGCTTAAAGTGTTAGCTCTTGCAAAGCTCCTTCCAAAATTAGTAAAATATTGTAATCATAGAGGCTAGCCAAGAAAAAAAATTACTAAAATGTGACCCCCGCCGTGCTCAAGTAACTATGTGGGAAAATAATACTCCTGTCTGTGGATCCCATGCTAATGGCTGAAAGGGGAAATAAGAATGATTGCAGAGTAGAATTTTCAGGACATAGTCTTGACCCCACCAGTGTGGACTCACCACTAAAGAATTAGCTGTGGGTGCCCAGTGCTTTCTAAGGCTGAAATAGGAGGGTTGTTTGAGGCCAGGAGTTCAAGACCAGTATGGCAGCAACAAAGACCCACATCTCTACAAAAAAAAATTTTTTTTTCAAAAATTAGCTAGGCATGGTGGTGCACACCTATAGACCTACCTGTTTGGGTGGCTGAGACAGGAGGATCTTTTGAGCCCAGGAATTTTTGAGGTTATAGGGAACTATGATTTTGCCACTGTACTCTAGCCTGGGTTGCAGAATAAGAACCTGTCTTCCAAAAATTTGTAAAAATAATAGGTCATGAATTTCCCTCTAAGGCAGTGATTTTAAACTGGTGTGCCATGAGAGGACCTTAGGTATGCTGTGAAAATTGTTAAAGTTTATTAATTAAATTATTTTTAAAAGAAGTTCGAAGTATAGTAAGTACATTTTTTTTTATCAACATAATCTAAGTGTACCATAAAAATTCGTAGGTTCAAATATGCTGTGAGATAAGCAAGGTTGTAATACATTAAGGCTTATTCATGCCTGAGCATGACTGAGTTTTAATGCAGTTGTAATTCAGTGTTGAAGCACGTGTCCCCGAGAGTGCATCCTAGTTTACTGCCAGCTCTGTGCTTTTTCAACTGTCCCGCAAGCAGGGGGAGAGCGAAGAGTATTATTTCAAGCCTCCTGCTTAGGGAAACAGGTGTTCAGAAGGTAGAATCAATCAAGATCATCCAGTTGATACCATCAGGTAGGAAGCTTCCTTCTGACTATATTTAGGTTCCATATAGGCCTCAACTTCCACGCCCAGCGACCACTTCAGATTACTAACAACATTGTTGAAGGGTCATATTTATTCAGAGTGTGCTGTGTGCCACACATAGCTATAAGAATGTCAAAAAGTGTGGAATGGGTAGCACCATTAACCCTGATTAACACATGAGGAGACTTAGTTATGGAAAGTTAGGACTTGCCAAGAGTGAACAGACACTGACTAATGACAAATGCAAGTTCAAACCCAGACTGCTGAGGGGTCTGTGCTCTTAATCACTCTGCCATCTTCAATCTACAAATTCAAATGTGTGGAATTTTGCCTCAGTGATAAGAATAGCTTATGTTTGCGTAATGTTAAATTTTCACCTGAGTATTTTATTATGTTTTAGAGGATTATTTTATTTCTGTGTATTTTGTAGAATCCATGCAACTGGTAGAAAATCATTTTCTAAATCTTAATAAGGGACATTTTGGAATCACCTCCATTTTGTGTGGTTTAGAACCTAGAAAATTCAAAGAACCACAACTTAAGAACTTCCATTCCACTCAAGTAAAAGTTACTAATAAGATTGCCAATCTAACACGTAAAATGAAATCCTGGAGAAGCAAGTTAACTTTCAACAGATTCTTAGCTTTCAGAAATCTAAAGGTAGATGATTTTATTTCATGTTTTAAATTTTAAATTTTCCAACTTAGTTGTGAAGACAGTGTTTTGTGGCCATATAAATCTTAGAAAAGAGTATCACCCACAAGAGTTACTGCCATTTATTTAAAAAAAAAGAAATGGCATCAGAAAGGAATTGTCCAATGTAAAATTATAAATAGGACCTAGGGTAAACTAACTTATATTATTTTCATATTTTCTATAAATTGTTTCCAGCTTTATTCTATGCCCTAAATAGTCAAAAAAAAAAAAAAAGTCAGCATTTTCATTCAAGTTAGTAAAAGACAGAGCGAACTTGAAGCTGCCCTAAAGGGGGTACCACAGACTGTGAGCTTGCTTTGAAAGGTTGGGGGGGGGCATAAACAAAAGCCCATTTTTGTAGAGTGTTGGGATGAGGTGGGCATTCTTCCTTTGTCTCCTTCTAATTACTGATGAAGTCTCAACTGTGGTCTTCTGCTCCCTGAGTAACTTAAGAGGGAACATTATCTAGAAATGCAGAGGTGTCATCAGAAAGGCCATCACAGGTAAGTGGAAGGCACAACATGTTAGGTTAAAGCCTTCAGGACCACTGATGGCCACCCCCATCCTCTCTTTCTCCTGGAACCTAGTGTAGGAATCATCCCGGGATGTGGGGCTAGCTTGGCTCACAACCTATCCTCATCAAGGGATGAGGATTCTGACCTCATAGAACTGAGGTTTTTTCAACCACAGGAACATTCTCTAGCACAGTGCTCAAAAGGGAGACAACGTGAAAAGTATGTTTTCTTCATCTCACTAAGTGGGATGATTTTTTTTTTTTTTTTGCTGGAAAAACAAAAGATTAGATCTCCGCTGTTATATACAGAAGGACTTTCCAAAGTAAGCATAATATGATATGGATGTCCTTAGGTGAATTACCTGGGTTCAGTGAGTTTCCAAAGCAGCCAAAGCATGGAGAGTGTGTCCATTTGTCTCTACTTAATTAGCATCCTGAATAAGGTGGTTCTGGGGCTGATTTGAATGGATAAGTATTGGAAACTCCTACTAGATACTGGCTTCCATGGATCTCTGAAGATGCTCAGTGGTAAAGGCGCCTTCTTATGGACAGGGTGTTACTGAGCAGTGTCCCACCTTGCTCTTACATTAACATTCATGGTAAAGGTTAGGAACTTAAACTACTATCACAGCATACTTGCTACCTCTCAGCGTTGTGGTGAGATCAGTCTGGACCACTGAAAGACTGGCATGAACTTACATATACCAAGAAATGGCAGGTAAGATGCGAATTGTGCCTGTTCACCACCTGCTCAGGGGAGTGAATGCTCGTTACCAATGCTTAGCCTTTCGCTCATGGCTGCGTGTCCTCAGGAGCAGGTTCTTGGTCTTAGAGAAAGAAGAAAAGATCAAGATCTGATTTGTCATCAGAAGAAACAGGGAGTGGGCTGGTCTAAGAGTTCATAGACTTGACACTGAGGCACAGCTCTTGTCAGCATTAGCTATGTGACCTTGAACAAACCACTACTCTTGTTCAGGCCCAGGCTCTTTGGTGGTCTGAAGAAGAGTTTTAAAAGGCTGGTTGTTGAGGCCAGGGTAAGAAATAGATCTCAAGATTCTCTAACTTGTGGTTCTGTAAGGCACAAGGTGTCACAGTAGATTTTCTTAGGTATTCCAGTGACTAAGCTATGATCAATTCCTACACTTTCAGAAAAAACCAGTAATGTGGGCCACAATTCATGTCTAACATTGGATGGACAGTTCTTCATTTTAACATAGAAAGGGGAATAAAAGTCCTTGATTTATGCTGTCCAGTATGGTAGCCGCTAGCCAGGTTATAAACATCAGTGTCTTAGTTGCACTAGCCACGTTTTAAGCAATCAGTAGCCACATGTGACTAGTGTCTACTGGACAGCACTGCAGAAAGTGCTTTTGGTGAGTGCTGCCTTAGACTTTTGCCCAGACCACAAACTGCAGCTACTTGTCCCACAGAGCAGGGTGTACATGTTTGTGCCCTACAGCTGTGTTTGTCTTTGGGGAATGAAGGATGGATTAAATCTATTTGGATGAAGCGTGCAAGAGACCCTTCCAGCAAAACAAATTTGCATTGAATAAGAGTTCAGGAGATGGGGAGAGGGGAGGTTAGAGGATGGAACTTAGAAACACCTAAGGCGTTCTGTGCCTTGGATCTGGACTAGGCCTGAACCTATGTAGGGTACAGCACCCCTGGAAAGCAGTTCCTCAGAGACTGTCCCCAGTAAGTAACTGATCCCAACAATGAAAAAGTGTGAGAGGAGCAGGGCTGCCCTGATACCCAGGAACTGAGGGACACTCTGCACACTCAGTAGTGGGGAAAGCGTTAGTCATGTCTGGCCCATAAGAAAGAAAGTTGTCATATAGATTGCCAGTGGTGGGATAGGGAGTAATTCAGGGCAACCAGGTTACCTGACACTTGGCTCCTTAGGTCTAGGTCTGCACAGTCAAGACCAGATTTTGTTTTGAAGCTTGGGCTTGAGTGTTAGAAGGAAAGTTTCAATGATACAAGGAAAAGGCTTGGTGCTTCCCTGCCAGCCCTGTGGCTACGGGGCCATGCAGACAGGGAAAGGAAGAAATCAGAGGTGGAGAGCAAAAGGTGTAATTTTACCTGCTGTCTGGAAGCCATCTGTGAAGGGAATCACCTTTCTTTTCTGGACTTATTTCCAGGTGCAGCTGCAGGGGATGACACTGAAGATGCAAGCACTGAGTTCACTGACAGCATCGAGGAGGAGGCTGCACACAGCAGCCACCAGCAAGTAAGTCGGTGTCAGGTTCTGGGGTTCCCAGGGGAGAAGGCAGATGGGTCTGATGGTCTCCTGCAGCCCTTGTGGACCTGGATGGAGTGAGAAGGTATCTTTTTATATAAATCACTTCCCAGTCTTCCTCCCACCCTCCCTGAACTTCCCAGCTGCCTCTCCAACCCATGTCCTCATTCCATATTCCTCTCCAAGCCAACCCTTGGGTTTTATTGCTTCTATTTCTTTCTTCTGCTTCCTGCCTCCTCCTACCCACTTTTCCCCTACTTACTCCCTGTAGCTATAGCTTCAGAAGAAGTTTTACTTACAAGACAAATGGATACTTCCCCCTTGGGCTTTTGTAACTGAAACACGCTACAGAAGGCAAGAAGTCATCAAAGGGCCACTTGGGGAGGTGGCAGGCCTAGGACCTATGTGGGGAGAATGCTCTCTGAGAAACTCCAGGAGGATTGGGATGGTTCCAAAGCAGGGATCTTTCTCAGTGAAATCTCATTATACAAAGAGAACCTTTTTGTGCGACCTGACAAACCACCCAGGTCATGATGACTCCATGACCAGCAGACGGCACTTCAACAGCAGACCCCAGTCAAATCTCAGAACATGGTGCCCAGTGCTGAAACACTATCTCCAAGATCAGTGAAGGTGTACCCGGCCTGTTCTCGAGCCAGAGGGAATGCCCTGGACCTCCAAAGTTAGGTCACCAGTATTAATCTCACAGCACTCACTGGTATGTCTCCACCTTGCCCAGAGACATTTAGCTATCTCATCTCCTATGGACTAGTGACTCTCTTAAGTTAAGGAGAAAATGATCATTGGTAGATACCCTTCTGCAAAACCAGCCGGGCTTTCCACTGATAGCTTCCTTGGGGTATTAGGAAATCTGTAGGGAAATAAAGCCTGCTGGATCTGCCTGTGTGTCTCCTGCATAAAGAGGAGAATCTCATAACCCAAGACGGAGATCCCAAATAACCTGTCCCAAATCTTTCAGGATTTGGCTTGGTCTTTGGCTCTTGAGGACATGAATAATTGTCTGGGATACCTCACATCCTCAACAGTTTCTATACCTTCTACCAAGATCCTCTTTTCATTGCCGTAGCCACACCTGACCTGCCCTTCTCGCTTGAGCTTTTGCATGAGCTCCACTTCTTTTGCTTGAACAGTATCTCTTGAGTCTTCTTCCCTGATGGTTGTGACTTTAATTATGTACAGTACTCCCTGCCACTCCCTGATGTGGTTGAGAGAGAGGGATCTGCAGGAGGACCCTCTAAGACAGAGCTAGAGTGGGACGTTGGCTGGTCACTGGTGGCTATAATGGCTATGTGCCAGGATTAACTTCACAATAAATGAACAGGAGACACAGATATGAAGAGACAGATTCTGACTGACACGGTGCAAACTATCCCCAACAGTGCAAGTCCTTCACTCTAATTCTTAGTTGTAGGCAAACTGATTTGTAAAGCCACTTCCTCAGCCTCCATCCTATAGCCTCCCATGGAGAATATGACCAGACCCCATTCTGAGAAGGTCACTCCAACCTGCAGTGAACTTTCATGTTGGGGCATTTGTTTATCCCTCACAATGCTTGCCACGTTACTTGGCATAAGAAATACATGGTATAATTATAACCCTCAAACCTTTGGATCAGGGCTTGACTCATGATAGATAAAGTGTATACCTGTCGGATGAAGAGTCTCTTGGGTAAGCAATCTTTACTTTCTCTCGCCTTTACTTGAAAATCAATCTTTAGCTTTAGGTAGAAGTTTTAGTGTGTTAGATTGTTGTAAATTTGTATCATCTTCTCTGGAGTTTGAAGTTGTGATTTTCCTGCTACTAATTAAATAAAGCTTGCTTTGCCATAACAGTTTTGTGTCCAGATTCTCAAAATTTGTTTGCTTGTTCCCAGAAAAATGGTCCCTTGAGAGTAGGCTCTGAGCTCTTCCTTGGCTTGTCCCTGGAAAGTAAACTATTCCTGACACCAGGCTCTCTTCCTGCTTCAGGAATTCACACACTGTCCCTAACACACACAGCTAACTTTGTCTTCCTTCCAAGGCAAGAATCACCTTTTGGCCAAAGCCAGTTGCTTCCTCCTTACTTTTTAGATTCACCCACTTTAGGGAGCTTTAGGACTGGGGCCATGATGGTAATTTTCTCTTGGTAAGATGTAAGATCTATAATATACACCTAGGAAATTGCCATGGAAGGAACTAGAATAGTAACTGCTGCTTTTCTTCATTTGAACTTCTACAGTGGAGTAAGATTAATCAAGATTGAAATACAAAAGAGAGATGTCGGCTGATGAAGTATGATAAACTTGATAAAAAGCAATTTAAAAAGATTAATGTTATTTTTGATTGACAAATCATAATTGTCTACACTTATTGGGTACAATGTGATTTGATACACACACACACACACACACACACACTTGCTTACCTACCATTTTTATGGTGAGATATTTGAAATTTACTTTCTTATTTTAAAATATAGTCACCCTGCCGTACAATAGCTCTGAAAGCCTATTCCTTGTCTGCCAAAAACTTTGTACCCCTTCTCTCCCTATCCTGCCAACCTCGGTCACCATCACTCTACTCTCTGCTTCTCTGAGTCTGGCTTTATTCGATTCCATATGTGAACGAGGTTGGGCGGTGTTAATCTTCCTGTGCCTGGCCTATTTCACTTAGCATGATGCCTTCCAGATTCATTCATGTTATCACAGATGACGGGCTCCCCCACTCCTCACCCTTTAAGCCTGAATAATATTTCTTTATGTATAAAGACCACATTTTCTTAATCCGGTCATCCACTGGTGGACACCTACATTGATTCTGTATCTTGGCTATTGTGACATAGCTGTGGCTTATATGGGAATACGTGAGTAGAGGAGCACAGATATCCTCTTGACATCCTGAGTTCAGTTCCTGTGGATGTTTAAGAGTATGCAGAAAGTATCCAGCCCTATAAGTCTCTATTATTAGTCATAGAACATGGCTGGAAACTTTCTGGACAGCTTTTATATACAAGTAGGATTACTGGGTCATAGGGTAATTCTATTTTTAGTTTTTTGAGGAAAACCCATACTGTTTTCCACTATGACTGTACTAATTTACATTCCTACCAACAAAGTACAAGGGTTCCCTTTCTCCATATGTTCTCCAAAGCTTGTTATCATTCGTCTTATTTATTTATTTATTTACATTTTTTGGAGACAGAGTCTCACTATTTTTTGGAGACAGAATCTCGGTAGAGTGCTGTGGCATCACAGCTCACAGCAACCTCAAATTCTTGGCCTTAAGCGATTCTCTTGCCTCAGCCTCCCAACTAGCTGGGACTACCGGTACTTGCCACAACACCTGGCTATTTTTTGTTGTAGTTGTCACTGTTGATTTTGCCTAGCCCAGACTGTGTTTGAACCTGCCAGCCTCAGTGTTTGTAGCAGGTGCCCTACACACCGAGCTGTAGGCACTGCCCACATCGTTTGTCTCTTTTAAAACAATGATCCTAACAAGTGTGCAGTAATATCTCACTGTGGTTTTATTTTGCATTTCCCTAATGATTTGTTTTTTTTAATGCCTTGATGTGTCTGGGAACTGACTTAACATAAGGTTAAACAGTAAAACAACTCTACTTGAACAAGAGATAGATCTGCACAAAGACCCCTGTGGGGTGAATGAACCCATCGTATGGAAGCAAGTGAAAAAAAGTCTATAAGGAACATAGGATTAAAGATAGACCTAATGAATTCATATGACCAGCACACATACTGGAAGCCCTGGGATTTCATTTGGGGGAAAGAAATATTTGCTTTTCATAGATGATAAAAACTAATGAAAAGGCTAGATCCTCAGTCATTTTTCATTTGCTTACATTTAAATTACATTTAAGACCCAGTGTGGTGCCTCATGCCCATAATCCTAGCACCCTGGGAGGCTGAGGCAGGTGGATTGCCTGAGTTTGGAAGTTCAAGACCATCCTGAGCAAGAGCAAGACTCTGTCTCTAAAAATAGCCAGGCACCGTCGTGGGAGCCTGTAGTCCCAGCTACTCAGGAGGCTGAGGCAAGAACATTGCTTGAACCCGTGAGTTAGAGGTTGCAGTGAGCTATGATGCCACGGCACTCTCACCAGGGCAACAAAGTGAGACTCTGTCTCAGTAAAATAAAATAAGATAAGTAATATTTACTTTTAAAATTTAAAGTAAGCCAAAGTCAGTCCCCTTTAAGATGGAAATAAGAAAACCCAAATTAGCCTGGGCAAGAATCAATTATCTAGGCAGTGTCCATTTTCTCATTTTAAAGTGGGAGATTATACCAGATGGACCTTAATGTTCTTCTGGTGTTAACATTTCACAGGTCATCATTTTTTTTAAGGACCAGGTGTATTAAAACCAACAGAACAAGATAATATCCATCCATTCAGAAGGTACTTTAAAAATGGGTAGACTTCATTAAAATTAGACATGTTTAAGCAGAAGGAACCCTGAAGGTATGGAAGAGAATAAATGTTATGCCCATCTTCAGGACTAATAGTGATATTCATTTTGGTCCACTTAGTTGGAAAGAGTTTATATAGAAAAATACCATCACAGAGTTTAAATGAAGGGTCAGTTCATAAACTTTCAAAAGTGGGTTTCTCCAAGTCCACTTCCTTTATCTTGTCACAAATGCCTTGTGGCACATGTGGAGATGGCCACCAGCCTAACTAAGCTTGGTAGCAGAGTCTTAGAGACAGACATGGCCAGGAGCTTGCCACAGGTGGGATTGGATGCCTTTGGATTGAGTGGCGTATCGGTGGTGCTCTTTCTTCTTTGACGTGGGGGCATATGCCCTCATAACCTCGGCTGCTATGCTACTAAACCCCACTGCACACACAAGCTATCAATCCACCCCACCATGAGCCCATGACCAAGATTTTGTCATCCTTTGTTATGGGGACTAGCAAAAGCCAGCAGCTTTGTGCCGACCTGAGCGGCTCTGACAATTGTTTTTTTTTTTTTTTTTTCTGACAATTGTTAATCCATATGATCAGCCTGGGCCCTATTATGTTCAATATATTGATGACCTGAATGAAGTTCATATAATTAATTCTACAAGTCATCACTAATCAGGTGGCCACATCATGATTTATGGAGATGCAGGTATTTTGATGACTTTGATAACTAGGAAGTGATTCTGTATAATCAGAATTTATAAGTGACGAGTCACAGTACTTATGGAGATTTTTAAGAAATTACCTAGAAATAGCTGTGGATAAGGGGTGGAAATTGGAAGGTCAAAATTAACCTGAAGTTTAAGTAAAACCTCCAGACTCTGCCACTGAGAGGAAAAAAAGAAGCCAGCGTGACACTGGGATATTTCAAGATTAATACTGGACAGATAGGAAATCCTTGTACTAAAATAATCAGTCACACCCAAAGTAGATTGTTACACTCGGAGTTTGATTTCTACCCTTCTAGGATGGTGGGGGAAAGCGAAGATGAGCCCAAATTGAACAAAAAGAAAGTCTAATGGCTAATAAATTCTTATTTGAGGAAAAACTGCAAGATCTACCCTTAACTGAAACATTTAGGAGTGACTTCAAGAGTGTCTTCAAGCAAAAGAAAGGCACTGGGCAGTCGGCTCTGCTCTGTCTTCTCACATGCTTAGGTTCCTAGAGACGGTATGCTGGCAGCATCGGTACAGGGGTGATACCCAAAGAGTGAACTTGGCAGCCGGGCAGGGTGCTTCCCCTCAGCCTCTCGGCAGGCAGGGGCACGATTCTCCTGCTGCCCGTGAAATAAGCTTCCTGTGCCCACCTGTGTATCCCACATTCTCCCAATCCCGTGACTCTGACTGCTGGCTGAGTTCTCCTTTGCATCATCCTCTGCTCAGTGTTTTTTAATTTTTTTTTTTTATCACATGGCACACTTGAACCTATAGTGAAACGTCCATGGCACACTTAAATTATATTGATCAAAAAAAAGAGTGAAAGAAAAAAGTATATACCTACTGCTTTGAACTTCCTTTGAAATTCCTATGATTCTCTCAGCACTGGTCGGAAATCACTGCCCTACAGTGTCAGAGTTATAGGCAGGAACTGAGGCTTTGAGTCCTGGTATCTGGAGCCATCATCTTTGCAGTCCAGGACTCAAGTGGTGTGAAACGGATGAAGCTTCCTGACTTGTGAGAAAACTCTGTCCCTCCAGGAGGAGAGAATCACAGCTTCCACTCCCCAGACCTGGTTAACTTTATGTGTTTGCATTTGGTTTTAATGGATGTTTATGTTCTTTGGGGGACTTTCTCCCTTCCCCTTCTCCGACTTCCCCGCTTTCTCTCCATGGCAGCAATTGCCCTGCTCAATTACTGTGTCCTCCCTGTCCAAGCAAGTCTCCAGGGCCCTGATGGTGGAAGAGTCCTTAAGGGGGAGTTCATTTTGGATCTGCCTTTTCTGGCAATCTCTTGTTCTTTCTGCATCATCTTTAATGACCTAACTCCTTTAAACCATGACTTTCTTTCAGCTCATCAAGGTGGCTCTGGAGAAAAGCCTGGCACCTGCAGAGTCCCAGAGCATGCCTGTTCCCCCTCCTTCCCCAGTAGGAGGGGACAGTAACAGGTGTCTCCAGGAGGAGATGCTCCGCCTGAGGGCCGAGCTCCACCAGCACTTAGAGGAGAAGAGAAAAGCCGAGGCAGAACTGAAGGAGCTAAAGGCTCAAATTGAGGAAGCAGGATTCTCCTCCGTGTCGCATATCAGGTAGGACATCTCCCCGGAAAGGGAACTGATCACAAGGTGCCACACACAGCCAATGGGCTTGTCTTGTTGCCACCAAGCACTCATGCTACCATGGGGTCCTGTCCCAGGCTCCATGCCTTAATGTTTCTACAAATTCTTTAGAGGAAAGTTAATAATATTATGGTAATCACTTTTTGTTATTCAAAACCTGCTGTTAATTCAATATACCAATGGCCATCATTATTGCCTGTATGCCCATCACACAGGACAGTCCTGGTGGGAACCTCCTGGCGGTATGACTGATACTGCTCTTTTGAACTGACTAGGATATGTGAGGAATCCCCGCTACCCAAGTGTTTCCCTGCTGTATGCAGAACCAGAACAGTCCTTGAGGGAGGATTTGTGCAGGCACCCTTCGTACGAAAGCTTTCCACTCAGCTTTCTTTCAGAACCCTGAGTCCTTTAGTTGTGGAATAATGATTTTAATAATCTCTGCTGCTTTATTAACTTCACAGAAATGGTAAATAGCTGATTCATTAGCTATACTGCTCACTCTGCCTCTGACAGCTTTTTGTGAAAAGACACTGGGAGAACATGATGATACTGCAGGGCTGATGCATTTGTCCTCCTGAACCCGAGGACCGTACTTGTCATTGCCTGTTGTCCCAAGTATATCTGGGCAGGTGTGCAACCCCTACCTCATGCTCTGACTCCCTGCGTACTACATGCTGCTCAGCTTCCCCAGATAATGTCAGCACTTGACCACGACCCTGGCCTCTAGCCTGATGTCCTATTTTCCTACTTTAGGAAACTCAGGCCTAGGAATTTCCAAGTGACTTGCTCTGGATGATAGTGTAATATTTTGTGGCTACACCCCTGGCTTCTGATTGTTAATATCTTGACTTCTATACTGTACACTTTGCCACTCAGCTTAAAAAAGAAAAAACTCTTTTGTGATCAGGTTTGGTCCCACTTCTTTGACTCTGAACAACCATGAAAATTCTTTCCCTAAGGACAGCTTAAGTTGAAGTACAAGGTTTACTTAAACTTTTGCATGTGTAAACTTAGTTAAGCTGTCATGGGTAAGAACAATATGTCTCTTTTGATTCTACAATCAATGCACACATAGACACCCTTATGGATTATTTTTCTTTTTCCTCAGTTACTAACCTGAAACTCCATTGTGTTTAACCCTCCACTCAACTTTAAGAATCACTGCTATTGTAGAAGATAGACTCTATCTAATACACAGCCCCTCCTTTTGAGAAGATTTTGTTGAGATTTTCTTTCATTTGTTTGTATTTGGAAACATCAGAGTTTTCTCCAGAATATAAAATTAGAATATAATATTAAATATTCTTTTCCACACACGTGTTCCTTTCTCTCCCTCCTATATCCTAGTTTTAGTAAAATACCTACCTCCTTTTTCTCCACTGAGAAACTGTCTTCTAGATAGTCTGAGTCCTATGTCCTAAAGTACTGTCTTTTCTTTTCTGAATTGCACCAGAGACAAGCTGTGCTCTGGGTTCCCAGACTCGGGATTCTGAGAAATCCAGCTTTGGTGTACAGCCAACTGCTGCCCCTTTAAGCTGTGAATTACCCATTTTCTTGGCTAGCTCAGTGGTTCTCGATCTAGTGGAACCTAAGTAACGTGTAGATTCATATTCTTTATCTCTACAGGTTTTTAAACATGAACCTCAGGGGATTCTGAGGGTGGCATTCCTCAGGTCTGCAGCTAGTCCAGCAGGCAGGAGTGGCTGCTGTGTTGCAGACCCTGAGCCAATCCAACCATACATGGGCAGACCCTGAGCCAATCATACCATACATTCGCAGACCTGAGCCAATCACACCATACTTGCACAGACCCTGAGCCAATCACACCATACATGTGCAGACCCTGAGCCAACCACACAATACCTATGCAGACCCTGAGCCAATCACACCATACATACACAGACCCTGAGCCAATCACACCATACATACACTTTCACAGAAGCATCCATTAACTCCACTGGGTGTTATAATCCTTATTTTATAGCAAAGGAGACTGAGGCTCAAAGAGGTTAAGTGAACTGCCCTTTTAAAATCATGTTTTTTATTGCTTCTACTCAACCCTAGTACAGAATGCGTTGGTGGGAAAGGGTGGACATTTAAAGAATGTCTTCAAAATTAGTTGTTTTAATCAATTTTATTTCTTCAACAGATGTGAATGTTTTCTGTGGCAGAGACTTGGGTAGGCACTGGGGGTGCAGGATGAGGAAGGCAGTCGAGGTTCCTGCCACCTTGAAGGGCATCTCTTATCTCATAAGCCAGATGGAAAGCTGATTACTATACAAGTACATTTGTTAGCAGGTCCAATGGTAGCATTATTTATTTCTTCTGTGTTTCTAGGTCCCAATTTATCATTCAGTAGTTTAAAAAACTGATTGACAATAAATAATAAAACTATAGAATGCATACTAATAGCTTTATTACAGGCAAGGTCCTTCTTACTTTTTCTTAACAGCGTAAGAAAAGTATCCTTGTTTATTCCAGAGGCCACAGAGTATTAGAACATATAAGGCTGTGTGGCACATACAAAGAAAACTAGACTGGGTGTCTTCAGTCCAAGATTTTTGGTGACTGCACTGCCTACAAGAAGCAGTGGCAGGACAGGCACGTCTCTCACTCTTCCTGGGCCTTGACTCTCTTATCTACAAAATAAGAGAGCCGTTGCAGGTCTCTGACGTTGCTTTATGCTCTGGTGTGTCTCTGACCGTCTTGTTCACTCAGATGTGGGTAACGGGGCTGCCAGGAACTGTGGTCGAGGCCAGACCTGGCGCCTGACTCTGGGTGTTGGTTGCAGGAACACCATGCTGAGCCTTTGCCTTGAGAACGCAGAGCTAAAAGAGCAGATGGGAGAAGCAATGTCTGATGGATGGGAGATTGAGGAAGACAAGGAGAAGGGCGAGGTGATGGTGGAGACTGTGGTAGCCAAAGGGCGTCTGAATGAGAATGGCCTTCAGGCTGAGTTCACAAAGCTCCAGGGAAAACTAAAGAATGCCCATAACATCATCAACCTGCTCAAGGAACAACTGGTCCTGAGCAGCAAGGAAGGGAATGGGAATCCGGCCTCAGAGCTCCTTGTGCGCCTGGCCAGGGAGATCGACAGAATGAACACAGAACTGGTTTGTTCTCCTGGGAAGCCCCGACAGCAGAAGGAGGATGCGACCATGAGGCCTTGCCCCAGACCCCGGAGCCTTGACCTGGGGGCGCCCCTTGCAGTGGAGACCCTCCAAGTAAGTGTGAGCTTGGATGAAATACAAAACACCTGGAGAAGGGCTGGAGATGGCAGTTTTCACCTAAAACAGCTCTGCCTTTTGGGTCAGGAGGTACCAAGGGAAGACACCTTTGTACCACAGGCAGTGGTAATAATAACATTCCATGGACGTTCAACCTTTAGAAAAGCTCTTACAAACATTATCTCATAAATATTTCCTGAGTTCTTAGTTTTCCAGATAATGCACAAGGTCTTTGCAGCAGGCATTAATACCTAGTCCCTGCCCCTGAAATACTGAATATGGGGGGGAAAGGTGGTACCGAAAGAAATAATTTCATCAGGATGTGGAGACCAGTGGAACGGGGGGGAGGCGTCAGGGTTTGAGGCAGCTCAGACACGTGGTGTGCAGTGCCGTCTCTCCCTCATCACAGCTCATCCCAGGTGTCTGTTCGTGGGCCTCACGAGTGGTTACTGGAGGCCTCTTAAGGGAAGGAACTTCATCGAGTGTTCTGAGAGAATTGCTGGCACAGGAATGGGGGAGAGATGGAGGTTTCCATGTGTTCTCTGTTCAAACACTGAGTGAGCGTTTACTAAGAGCTCCTTGGTAGGCTTGATTGGCGCTGAGCTCTGTGCTGCAGTCACTGAGATGAATAAAACATTATCCCAGCTCTGTCCAGGAGCTCCACCTGGGAAGCAAGTAACAAGTGCTGAGACAGACACATGAGTGAAGTCTCCTGGGTTCAGAGGGGGAGGTGCCATCTCTCCGTGGGGCTGACCTCAGACTGTCCTAACCCCTGTATTGGGCCCTTCCACAGCTGCACGACCAGTCCCAGGCCTCTGACCCTGGGCCTCCATTAGAATTCAACCTCCCAGGGTCGACCAAGCATCTGCGCTCCCAGCTGGCACAATGTAGACGACGCTATCAAGATCTCCAAGAGAAGCTGCTATTATCAGAAGCCACCGTCTTCGCTCAGGCTAGCCAGCTGGAGAAATACAGAACCATATTTAGTAAGTTTTTTTTCTTTTTTTTTTTAATCACAGGCTTGCTGTCTGGCAGGAAGTCTTACAAGTTCACCATCACCAAAGTGTTGTTCTTCCTGGGAGGCTACAGGTTTTGTGAACTTTACTTTTCTTCCCCAACCTCAGAACAAATTTAATCCTGACCATCATCCTAGAATTGTAGAAGTGGATGTTTTACTTCAACTTTCAGACGGCAAAAGAGAATAAAAGAATAAGCCAAAGTTGTAAGTTTGCAGTGAGAGTGAAGGGAAGAACGGCTCCCCTCCAGGTTTGCTGAGTTCTGCAGCGGCCAATAAACCGCCTTAGTCTCTCCACATAGGCCAGGTGTCCCTCTTCTGCTTCTCTGCACAGTATTAGATTCTTCAGAAGCATCTTATGGGTCTAGACTCAGCACTGTCCCACAGTGATGGAAATGTTCTGTGTCTACATCACATGTGGTTATGGAGCACTTAGAAACTTAATTTTAATTAATTTCATATAAAGTAGCTGCATGTGGCTAATAACTATCTTATTGGACAGTGCAGATCTAGATGTCTTGGAACTCTAAATTAGTTTGGCACCATTCAGATATTTGCTGAGCCTCTCTGGATAAAGCCTTTCTGGCTTCACTGGGGCTTCCAGAGATGGTAGTATGTAATATGCAGCTTACAGAGGTCTGGTTATCTGAGATACAGAGGTCTGGTCCCAACTGAGCCGAGGTTATCTGAAGGTGAGCTCCTTGATGGCAAACACAGGCTCCTTCTGTGGGAGGAAGTTCTGCTGCCTCGAGCAGCTGGTCTCTTCTCCCATAAGCCCAAAGAAGCATTTTCCCCACTCCCCTACTGCCCTGCTCCCAAATGTCAGGTTCTGTGCCACTGAGGTTGAGGGTGATCTGAGAATTCGGTCATTCTGAAGCACTTGCTTTCTCTTCCTGAGCAGGTGAATCCTTGGTGAAGCAGGACAGCAAGCAGGTTCAGGTGGACCTCCAGGATCTGGGCTATGAGACATGCGGCCGAAGCGAGAATGAGGCCGAGCGGGAGGAGACCACCAGTCCCGGTAAGAGCACGGGGCGTGGGGCTCACCTTCCCTCCCTGGACTCAGCGGCCACGTCTGGGTTCTGTTGGCCAATCCTACCCTGACGGGTAAGAGTGGAAAGAGGGTGTCTCTGTGAAGGGGACACAGGACCAGAAAAGGACAGGAAGTTTGGAGGAGAACTCTTCCTAAAATGAGGCTGAGTGTGAATTTGAATTTCTACAAGTGGTTTTTGGCTCAATGCTATTAATGATGATAAAATTCTATCTAATGGATTATGATAGAAAGAAATACTGAGGACTACTTATTAAGGAAGAGACCAAATGAGCTTTGGGGGCCATGCAAAACAGAAGTTAAAAACAATTTTGTTTGTATCATAAAAGGACCATAGCCATAGAGCCACCCACCAAATTGAAACCCTGAAGGGGAGGGGTCCCTTCGCCCTGAGGCAGTGTAGAATGACGGTTAAGAGCAAAAACCCTGGGGCCAGACTCATGGGTTCAAACCCGTCTGTGAGCTTTTCTATGCCTGTTTCCTCCTATGTTAAAATGGTGATAAAGGAACTACCTACCCCATTGTGTAGAAGGTCAATTAAAGGAGTAAATTCTTCCAAAACACGTCAGGAGGAGCCTGGTAAATGCTGTGTATCCTTTCTCATTCTGTCCACCACTGCCTCGTGCACTGTTGTTAACATGTGCTGCGTGTCTTTGAAGTTTTGTTCTCTTGTTCATATTTTCCATACAGTTATCACCCAATCAACTTTTAGATTATAGCAATATTTGGAAAGCATTAAACTTTGAGTATGCCAAATAGCTAGTCCTGCATTTTTGTGGTCATCCTGAATATAAGAAGTAAGGCTCCTGTTGATGTTTTACTTAAGAGATGTGGATGTGTGTGGAATGAGCCCAGGACATGGGAGGGCTGGGACTCTGACTCTGCCATGTGCTAGTCTGAGTGATCTAGAACAAGCTAGTCTACTTCTCTCGGAGTTCTTGTTTCCCCAGTCAGTCAGACTTGCAGGGCTCTTGGGAGGATAAGAATAGTGCGTCCAGCTTTTATTCAGGAAGATATCTGTGGCTTGTTTCAGAGTGTGAGGAACACAACAGCCTCAAGGAGCTGGTCCTGATGGGGGGGCTGTGCTCTGAGCAGGGGCGCCTGGGCTCTGTGCTGGCCAGCCCCCCTGGGAAGAAACCCTTGGAGAGCCAGCTAGAGAAGCAGGAAGCGCTCCAGGCCTACGGAAAGTCGAAAGACGTCTCTGTCCTACAGAGGGACATCAGAGACCTGAAGGCCCAGCTGCAGAACGCCAGCAAAGTCATTCAGAGCCTCAGGAGCCGCGTCCGGTACCTCTCAGTGACAAGTAATTGTTCATCTAGTTTGGAAAGACCCCGGAAGCTGAGGGTTGTTGGCACCCTCGAGGGGCCTTCACCTCACAGTGTCACAGACGAAGATGAGGGGTGGCTTTCTGATGGCACTGGGGCTTTCTACCCCACAGGGCCAGAGGCCAAAAAGGATCTGGAGAGCCTCATTCAGAGAGTCTCCCAGCTGGAGGCCCAGCTCCCAAAAACTGGACTGGAAGGGAAGCTGGCCGAGGAGTTGAGATCAGCCTCGTGGCCTGGGTAAGGAGGGCACAGTTTGGGCCCTTGGCTGATTGGCAATGTCTAAGTTTGTGTTTAGAGTAAGGCAGCTCAGGCAATTAGAAGAAAGAACATAGGGTAATCAGAAGGGCATTCATTCAAATGGTAGACGTAAGCCTGAAGGAAGGACTAGTGGCCCAGAATCTGGGAGATACCAGGTAGTATAGCAGTAATATGTGTGGTGTGGTATATAGTATAGCAGTAGACCTGGTTTAAATCCTCGCTGTGGCACGTACCAGCTGTGCAGCCTGCTTAACCTTCCTGAGCCTTCTTCCTTACCTATTAAAGGAGGATAATAAGAGAACCCATCTCAAAGGGTGAATTAATGAAGTTTTGAGTGAATTAATACAAGTTTTTAAAATAGTGCCTAATGTATAGTAAACCCTCAATGTTGTTTGCCAGAATTACAGTTGTTATTGATGCTTTGTGTAGAAAAACATAAGGTGAACATCTATCTTGGCGTCTATCCTGTTATCTATTGCTAAGTAACAAACCACCCCAAAACTCCAAACAATAATTTATTATCTCTTGTGCATCTGTGGGTTGACTGGGCAGCTCTCACTTAGGGTTTGTCATGTGGCTCCCATCATATGGTACCCAAGATTGTGGAATGGCCATCTTTGCAAAAATACAGTCTGCCACAGTATAGCACAGAAGAAATTCAGATATCAGATGATGTTTGAAATAGGCATGAAAGGTCCTCTCTAGACTTAGTTTTAAGTGAGTCTACATGTTCACTGAGTAATTACTGTGAGTCTATGTGATGCTGATGCTGTGGGATATAAAATATGGCGCAGTCGTTACCTTTGCAGACCTGATGGCTATTTTTGGACATGATTAACAGATACAAAGTGGTTGATGAACAGTGGCATGCTGCTAATGCAGGAGTTTCTCAGGACAGAATTTACCGTTAAATACCTCCTACGTCTTATATGCCAGAATTCAGCTTAGGGAATCCCTAGAGATGTTTTGACAGAAATCTCTACAGAAGCGCCCATCACTTACCATTTACTCTTTTCCACACTTACTGTTTCCTTTCCTGCATTAGGAAATATGATTCTCTGATTCAGGATCAGGCCCGAGAACTATCCTACCTACGGCAAAAAATACGAGAAGGGAGAGGTATTTGTTACCTTCTCACCCAGCACTCAAAAGACACGGTCAAATCCTTTGAGGACCTCCTGCGGAGCAATGACATCGACTACTACCTGGGGCAGAGCTTCCGGGAGCAACTCGCCCAGGGGAGCCAGTTGACAGAGAGGCTCACCAGCAAGCTCAGCACCAGTGAGTTGGCCACAGGGCTTTTGAATACTGTCGGGCACACCCACAGTTCCAGGCCCAGGGGGCCAGCACACCTCCACTGCAACCTTTTAACTCAAGTCCTGTTTCCACTTCATCTCCCGGGGGTCATTACAGGGTGAGGACTGGCAGGCAGGGAGCGCTGCAAGGAGCTCACGGGTTGGAGATGCTGTCTTACAACCATGGGAACATTATCACCCGTGGAAAGGATCTTTGGGGCAGGAGGCAGCAGCTATCTGGTTGGTGCTAAGAGAGAGAAAGGGCGATGAGACTGAAGGGCCTTGATATGGGGCAAAGAGCCCTGAACTAAGAACACCAAGGCTCAAGCTCTGTCCTTGATGCTACAATCAACTTGCTTTGGGCAAATGCCTTATCCCTTTGGGGTCTGTTTCTTCAATTATAGCATGTATTGTGCTTAAAATATGGAAAAAGCACCACACTCTTTGGACATGGTCTAGGCACTGGCTGTGGTAGTTCAAGGGCTTCATTGATTATCATTGGATCCTTTACCTCGAGGGGATTTCTGGAGAGCCCCTGAGGGAGTACATTTCACAGGATCGGACTCAGGGGCCAGCTCATCTCCTGGTGGCAGGCAGAGAGATGGGACAGGGCTACTTGTCATCTCTTCTGTGCACGAAAGCTGTGATAGGACACGGTCCTGTATCTGGGAGCCAGTCTATGGCAGGACATGGAGGCTGGAGTGTCCAGAGGGCAGCTGAGCAAGCGCTTTATGATCAGTGGAACAAAAGACATTTTAAACTTTCTGTGCTTGATGGTAGAGGCAGTCATGATGTTGACCCAGTGAGCTCAGGTGAGTGCACTGAGTCACTTCTCTAAAGACACAACCTGGGACATCCCAGAATAATTATCCTGGGTGCGTGTGTAGAATGATGCCTGCCTGTGTCCATGGAGGGTCCTGTCTTTGTATTGTGTGAAGTAAGACCTGTTGAGTTTCTTACTGTTTCTTTCTGAATTTGGTTTGCAGAGGATCATAAAAGTGAGAAAGATCAAACGGGACTTGAGCCACTTGCCCTCAGGTAACTCAGAGTCGAATCTGGGAAAGGGAGCAGGACCAAGGTTCAAGGGGTCAAGGGTGTTGCAACTTTACAAACAGGTCAAAAAAGGGAAAACACTGAATGTAAGGAATTCATTTATTCATTGAACATCTCACTGTTATTTTTTAAACCAAGTTCTTTATTCCCTTTTGATATAATTCCATTGGCACCTTAATTCTCTAGGCTTGATAACCTGGAGGCAGTCTGACTGAACTAATGAAGCTTCAAGAACCTTCTGTACCCCAAGGGTTCTTCCCTGCTTTCCCCTTGTATGTTTAATGACCAGGGTGAGCTTTCTGCCAGGTTGGCCTGCCCCAGGTTGGGCTGACAGATAGTTTAATACTCATCCGATTTCCTTGGGGGAAAAGAATCAGATACCAGTACCAGGTGAAAGAGGCCTAGACAGCAGAGATCCTAGGAACCCATTAGGTGACAGTGCCTCAGGAACCCATTTTCAGTGAATTGCTATAATGCTTGATAAAATATGGGCTCAGAATCCGTGTAGCCACTAGTCTGAGCTTTCTGTGTCATGCTGTGGCTTAGACCACATATATGCTTCTAAAATATCTGTTTTTTTCTGGGTTTTTCTTTTTATTTCTATCCATCACAAAAACGTACATGGAGGCTGGGTGTGGTGGCTCACACCTGTAATCCCAGCGCTCTGGAAGGCTGAGGCAAGTGGATTGCTTGAGCTCAGAAGTTCAAGACCAGCCTGAGCAAGGGCAAGACCCCATCTCTACTAAAAGTAGAAAAAACTAGCCAGGCTTTGTGGTGGGTGCCTATAGTCTCAGCTACTCAAGAAGCTGTGGTAAGAGGATTGCTTGAGCCTAAGAGTTTGAGGTTGCTGTGAGCTATGACACCACAGCACTCTACCCAGGGTGACAGACTGAGACTCTGTCTCAAAAAACAAACAACTCTCTCCCAAACAAAGACATACATGGTCTGTACTTCATTTAACTACGTGATTCCACTTACATTCTTAGATGTTGAGACCGTGTTTGCTTTGTGTTTCTCAATGTTTTCCATTTTTGTACTTGTCTTGCTGGATAAGGTAATGAACTTCTCTGACTACCTTGCTCTAAGAACCACACTTTAAGCATCAGGGCTTTAAGAGGAGGGCCAGATTCACTAGTCCCCAGCATATTGTGCAGCCAGAGCACTGGGTAGCTCCATGTGTACCCCACCTACTTTCCACTCTTAATTGGAGATGAGTTATTTTGATTCTGCTTGGAGATGAGTTATTTAGGTTCTTCAGGCATGGTCCTCTTGGTTGATGGGCTTTTCTCATGCACCATAGTCAGGGCTGGTTGATCTGATGATCTTGTCTTCATCTGTTCCACCTACTTATCCCTACCAGGCTCAGCAGGGAGCTGCAGGAGAAGGAAAAAGTGATTGAGGTCCTGCAGGCCAAGCTGGATGCCCAGTCCCTCACGCCCCCCAGCAGCCGTGCCCTGTCTGACTCCCACCGCTCACCCAGCAGCACCTCCTTCCTGTCTGATGAGCTGGAAGCCTGCTCTGACATGGACATAGCCAGCGAGTACACACCCTATGAAGAGAAGAAACCTTCACCTGGTCACTCAGGTAGCCTCCCCCTTCTGAGTGGTACCGTTTAGTCTAGGCTGAGAGGAGATCTCGGGAACCAGGCCTTATAGCTCCACCTTGGTGTGTACCAGGCTGAACATGGCTCAGGGACCAAGTGCCAAGCACAGGCTCCAGTGGGTGGGGATCTTTGATCTGCTCCTGACCTTGCGCCTCACCTCCACAAGGCCACAGCGGGAAGAGTGAGATCATGGTGGACCTTCCCTCCCCGTGACTCTGTCTGACAGACCTCTTCCTGTAAGCCAGAGGACTCCTCCTTTAAGATCTCATCTCTCCTTCAGTGATCTTGCTACTTACAGTCTCTGAGCAGCACCCTTTAAGTATTTGAGGGTGTACAAAGGCACTGCTAGTCTTGCCTAACATTTTTGGAGGTGCCATTTTCATGGTTTCAGAGCTCCAAGTGCCACTATCACCCCTAAGGTAACTTGGCCTCACCAAAGAAACCATCTGCAAGCAAGAAAATGAACCCCGCTAATGGTGCCTGTGCTTGGTGCTTTCCCTGAAAGCAGAATCCAGCCCTGGTGCCCAGGATTCCAGTTCTCTATGGAACATCAAACATTTTCTTTCATTCATGGGTTTTATAGATTCCATCCATCATTCGAGTCATTCTGCTGTATTGTCTTCTAAACCATCAGCCACCAGTGTACCTCAGGGGGCTAAGGCCGAATCCAGCAGCAATCCCATCAGCTTTCCTGCTCCCCAGAACCCCCCCAAGGAGGCCGGCCAGGCCCATCCAGGTAGGCAACGGCCCATGGCAATCACTTCAGCCCCCTCCCTCAGCTGTCTGTTTGACTTTATGGATAAAGATTTGGACTGTGAGGGGCCTGTGTGCCTCAAATCCTAGACAGTATCAGGAGACCATCCTCATTTGCCAACTGGGTCTAATTTTTTGGTTTTAAATATTTTAGCAAATAAATAATCTACCACTTTTAATCAATAGTTAGCTAATCATTTTTAAATAAACAGTTTCATATTTTTTCTCTCATTTCACTCTGGGGAACAAGGAGGCAAATGGCTGTCTCAGGATTACAACAATCAGAGACAAAAAGGGAATTGACATCTACGGATCCTGTCCCTGTACATATCACCCATTCAGTCTGCACAGTGGACTGAGGCAGAGGGTGGTGCTGCTTACGTCATAGCTGTGGATGCTGAAGCACCCTCAGACAAGATTCTGCTCATAGTACATTACCCTTCATGGACTTACAAATGATTGACAGTCTTTGATATGTACGTTGTGCATACTTGGGGGCAGTAAAAGGGGTGCCCTCATTTATAGGCCCCAGCTTAGTTGCCGAGGGTAAACTGTTTGCACCCAGCTCTGTCCAGGGATGGAAAGGAAAGGGCGAGCCCTGTCTCCTTCCTGCCTCCCAGCGTAACTGGCTGGCTGCCCTCAGTGTGGCTCGTGGTGAGGTTGGAGTCCTGTAGAGGAGGTGCTCCCAGAAGGCAGAGTGCTCTCTTCTGCCACTCTCATCTTCCTGAGGGCAAGTCAGCCAAAATCTTAAGGAAGAGGAACTATCTTGACTCTTCCTCAGCCTGAGCTCAAAGTTTTAGAGCCAATGTGGGCAGCAACTGAACCCGGAGTCATGGGGGGAAAGCTGTTCACCCAGAGCTGTAGACTTTTGCTTAATAATTTAAATGTTTGGGGTTTAAATGGGGCAAATGGTCAAGGGTTTTAAAACTAGAATGCTACGTCATTTGGCAATGTAGGTGTCTTTGCAGCACTGATCTGGTGTGGTGTCAGTGTCATGGGGCAGGGATGTGTTTTAGAATGTAATTATTTAGAATGTAATTATTGTTTATAAGATTCTCCTCAAGTCAGTCTTGATTTCTGCTCCTTCTGTTGGTTACCTGCTTTCTATCTGTTTTTAAGGAAAGAGGAAACAAATTCAAATGCTAGAACTTCCCAGGATTTCTGAAGGCCTGTCTGTAGATGGGCTGCTGACAGATCACCTGGGAGATTTTTTAAAATGTAAATTTCCAAGCTCTGCTCCCAGAGTTTATAATTCTATAGATCTGAAGTGAGGCCTAAACAATCCTCATGTATCAAGAGCTTTTCCTATGTGATTCAAATGCCTTTGTGTGTAAGCCACTCCACCAAGGCCTCTGTTTTTAATTTGTGAATGAACCATTGATTTGGGCTTCTGAAGTGTGTTTCCATCAGAGCCATGAACTGCATGCACTAATGCAGTTCCTCACAGTGCCGTCCACTCCTTCCCTCCTCAGGATGGGTCCCGATGCTTTCAGACAGGGGTTGTAGGTACAGGGACAGTCTGCCTCAGGGCCAAGGACCAGGACGTGCTGGGGGCAGTACCCCATGGGCCCTTGAGAGCATGCAGGCACAGCCACTCTGACCCATCTATGCCCAGCCTTACTGTAGGTTGGGGCTCAACAATGCCACCTAACTTTCTGTAGCCAATGGTTTTCAAGGTAAACATAAAATATGTATATAGGACAGCTCTGCAGGGGAAGGGAGGGAGGGTCCAGCGAGGCCAGACTCTCGGGTAGCAATGACCATCCTTGGCTGTCTCAGCTGCCTCACAAGCTGAGTGAGATGCAAGTGATGGCCTGTCCTCGGGGTGAGTCTGGTCAGGATGGTTTTGCGCTCTCAATCTTTTGCCCATCTTTTTCTCTCTTTCTTTCAATGATATGTCATCTTCTCCCTAACTCTCTGTTTCCAGGCTTTCATTTCCACACCATGCCCAAGCTGGCTAGCCTTCCTCAGGCACCACTGCCCTCAGCTCTATCCAGTTTCCTGCCTTTCAGGCCCCCTGGCCCTCCCCTCCTTGGCTGCGGTGAGACACCGGTGGTCTCCTTGGCTGAGGCTCAACAGGAGCTACAGATGCTGCAGAAGCAGCTGGGAGAAAGTGAGCACTTCCTGCTGCATTTGTGTGCTTGACAGTGCGTCGCTCTGCATGGCTTGGGCTTGATGGCAGACATTAAAACAATACAGGGCTACACATGATGCATAGAGAAGTGAGAGAAAGCTCTGCGTGCTTTTTTTGGAAAGTGTATTTACTATTATCTTTCTGGTGTGTATGTGTCTCATCAGTTGACAGGTATAGATCTTCATGAGGCTCTAGACCTGGGGCTCACACCCTGCAGACAATACCACCCAGTGCACTCAATCCCTGCTGGTCTGATGAAATGCTTGCTGGTAGCAGGTGGGAGAAGGATTATGTACTTGGCCTTCACAGGACGAAGTGGCCATGAAAGAGATGGCCACATTCAGTGGGCTCCTTTGTGTGGCTGTTATATTCTGCTGGGAAATGCTTTTAATCAAGTTCAGTTCCTGACATCAGGTTGGGACAAAAAGGAGGTAGAGGGATTCAGAAGAGGAAGTGATCAGGTCTCTTCCCTATTGCACAAGGTCCAGCCCTTGTGGGACAGGCATGGGCAGCTTGATGTCTGGTTGTGAATTCTTTCCTTTGATTCCTAAACAGATTTGATCTCATGTGGTTACACAATGCAGAAAATGTGTACAGACATCTTTTAGAAAATGGTTTGCTATATTTATAGGCCGATGCCCCATCCTAAAAATTTATGTGATTACTTATAGCTTAGAAAAAAATAAGCAAAAAACAATTGCTTACATGTTGAATTTGCTCTGTAATAGTACCTTAAACAACAACTACTAGAAAGAAGTTTGAAATTATCTCAAAATCACTTTCTGTGCCTGTCAAGAAGTTTGGGTGAGCCAGAAATTGATGGCAGGGTCACCATGCCAAGGGCGTCCCATGACCCAAGACCATAGCCAGAACTTATATCTCTATCTTTTATAATTATTAATTTTTTTTCACTTTTTTCTTTGTCTTTTTCCCAAAAGACCATGTTGGCTTCAGATGTATACCTGTCCCTAAAGTCCTAAATGTCATCTGAACTAGCCTATTTCTTTTGTTAGCCCTGGAAATGGATATTCCGTCTGGTCTGCCCCCATTTTCACTCCCAGAACCAACTAGACCAAGACCATTTTCAGGAGAGTTTGTATATTCTGTGGGCAGTGAGGTCTAACAGTATCCTGTCTACCAGCTTTACACAAGCACAAATTTTAGGGCTTACCTAGCAACATGGACCGGTTCTTACTTGAGCCTCACAAAACTCCTGTGCAGTAGACAGACAAAGCTAGTAGCTCAGGGAAGTGAAATTACTTGTTCAAGAGAGTTGGGCTTGAATCTGGTCTTCTGCTTTAGGTTCCATGTTTCCATTATACCTTTTCCACTTAGGATGGTTTTGTTACCACCCTGCTTAGAGTGTGGGGCTGAGCTCAGCTAAACAAAACTCTGGAAATCCCTTGCAACACTCTTTTCTCTCGTTAGAGATTAGTCAAAGGTGCTAGTGTTTCTGACCTAAAAGTTGTTGCTTTAGTAGTTCTGGTACCAACAGTTGGTGGGTAACAAATGCCAAAAGGCAAGAGCATTCTGTATTTCTTTCCCTTGCCTCCTTTCCCTCTCTCTGTCCACACTTCTCAACTTGTCTTTGTCAAAAAAGAAGGATGGAAGGAGCGTGTTGATGAGAGTTGAGTTGGAATCACATCAAGTTTGAGGCCATTGACCAGAGTTTGGATGGTCTCAGCCTTGGTGAGGAAGATTGTAGGCCTTTCTTTTCCCACCTGAAGACAGGATCCTCTCCAAGGGACCATTGCTGACCAGCGCTCATTGTTTGCTTTGAACTGATTTTCCATGTGGACAGTGGTGCATGGTGGCGTCTCAGGTCTCTGTGGGGCTGAGGTTTCCTTGTGTAAGGGTCTGTGTGGTGTCTTTGCATGGTTTAGGGCATGTGCTCTGTATCTTGTGGCCGGGGTGACTGGAACATGAGAATGTTATGATAGACTTGGAGCCTCCCAAGACCTTGATGAAAAAGTAAACAGACTCATCTACAGCCATCGATTTTCCCATTTGTCCTGTGTTGGGGTAAGGTTGAAGGGGGTGTGAAAGAGGTAGGAAAGTGTATCTTCATTGAACTCCTATTTAAATGTGGGTACTTAAAAAGTTTTTTTTGTTTTTGTTTTTTTGAGACAGAGTCTCACTTTGTTGCCCCTGGTAGAGTACTGTGGCCTCATATCTCACAGCAAGTTCAAATTCTTGGGCTCAAGAGATTCTCTTGCCTCTGAGCCTCCTGAGTAGCTGGGACTATAGGCACCTGCCACAATGCCTGGCTATTTTAAGCAAGATGGGGTCTCACTCTTGCACAGGCTGGTCTTGAACCTGTGAGCTCAGGCAATCTCCCTGCCTTGGCCTCCCAGAGTGCTGGGATTACAGGTGTGAGCCACCATGTTCTGTGGTGCTTAAGTTTTTTTTTTTTTTTTTGAGACAGAGCCTCAAGCTGTCCCCCTGGGTAGAGTGCCGTGGCTTTACAGCTCACAGCAACCTCCAACTCCTGGCCTCAAGCGAGTCTCCTGCCTCCGCCTCCCAAGTAGCTGGGACCACAGGCGCCCGCCACAACGCCCGGCCATTTTCTGGTTGCAGCCGTCATTGTTGTTTTGGCGGGTCCGGGCTGGGGATTCGAACCCGCCACCCTAGGTGTACGTGGCTGGCGCCTCAGCCGGTTGAGCTATAGGCGCCAAGCCGGTGCTTAAGTTTTTAATCTCCCTTTTTAAATCCCAGTGATCCAAATAAACATCTAGTATTTTGCAGACTGGAACAGGAGAGACCCATGACAATCCTTCTCAAACTTTGCTGCCTGTTAGGATCACCTGGAGTGGTTCTAAAACATCTATTGCTCCACAGCTCAAGATGTATCTCATGCCAGTTAAGGCAAAATCTCTTGGGGTCCAAGTATATTTTTTTACATTTTCTTAGATGATTCCAGTGTGTAGCCAAATATGGCAATCAGATTTACAAACAGGGACAAAAACTGGCAAGTGGCAATTGCATTGCCCCTCCAAGGCGTCTGGCTCGGTGAGAGGAAACAGTGACCTCCCTCCCGTTTGCTGAAGTGGAGTGGCTGTCGGTTCTGCTGCCCATGTCTATAATCCCTGGAGGAAATCAGACTTTTGAACTTTTCACTATGGCTTTGCCCACCTCTCCCTGTCTCCCTCATGCTGGATTTCTTTTTACGAAGACCCTTAAGATAGGGCTTAAGGGAAGGCCCTATGACTCTAGAGAATCTATGAAAGCCTAAAGAATGAAGGGCCCGCCCTCCTTGGAATAGTGTTCAGTGATTCTTTAGACACAAGTGATAACGTTTTCATTTAGCAACGCCTCAAGTCATGTTGATTGGGGTTGTCTGACGTAGATCTTTCTCCAAACTAGCAAAAAGTTCTTTAGTCTGGAGGAATTGGAGTCACCACATCTAGCTGAATTTCATGTCTCCCTTCGCCTCCAAAAACCCCAAAGGAGAAATAGAAATATTGGCGGGTTGGTGTCTGGGGAATGCTAGTACTCACAGCAAACAGATGTTCCTGCTCATAGGTAAGCTTAGCCGTATATCCCATCGCACTCTTGACTCCTAACTTTGGGGGTGAGTCCTACCTTGGAACTTCTTTTGGACTCTGTCATGAGGATTTTTAGTAGGATGCAGGAGTGGGGCTCCTGGACATTTCCTTTGTGTGCACTGGTGACCTTCAGCTTCTTCATCCATCTTCTGCCTTGTGTGTCTCATGCCAGGAACTAGAAAGGGAAGTGCTGTAGGCTCTAGGCAGGGGTCTTCGTCTGATTGGTGTCCCCACTGCCCTGGGATCCCTGACGTCCTCCTGCCCCTTTTCAGTCTCCTTCCTCAGCACTCACACTCAGACCTTCCCTTCTCACACCCTCTTTGTTTCTCACTCAAATTTCTCTGTCCAGGTGTCAGCACTGTCCCTCCTGCTTCCCCAGCCACAATGCCAAGCAGCCACTTGGAAACCGGCTCTTCCCACTACCTCAACCCTGTCCAGCCCCAATCTCCTCCGAGGGACACCCTGGAACTGGGCAGAATCCTGGAGCCTGGGTACCTGGGCAGCAGTGGCCAGTGGGGCATGATGAGGCCTCAGAAGGGGAGTGTGTCTGGGGACCTGTCCTCCGGCTCCTCTGTGTGCCAGCTTAACTCTAAACCCACAGGTAAAGCACAAAGCTGAGAGGGGCCACCCTTGAAGGGAAACCTCCCTCACAGTCTATGCCTGTACCACACGGGCAAGGCTATTTTCCTTCCTCCTCTAGTCCCTGGTCACAGAATTCATCTAAAATGAAAGGACTGTATCAGAGTGCTATCCCTTCTAAGCATGCCCTTTGTTCTCCTTGCCTCGGGCCTGTGCGCTGTGCACCCTGACCTCTTCACAGCACACTCTCGTGGACCCTTCTAGAACACCAGGCACAGGCACTCACAGGGACCCTTTTCCATCAGTCAGGAGTTGTTAGAGGAAGGGACACAGCTCCCCCATCCTGCTCATGTATCTTGTACTCAAAACCCAACCACTGCAAGTGGAGCAGTGTGGCTGAGGCTGTGAGTGCTGGGATGCAGCTCAGGTCCTAAAGGAAGGCGATTGTAATTTTCAGAAAAAGACTGAGCCCAAAGCAGAACAGTGCAGGTGGTGTAGCCCCTTGTCAGCATCCCTCCCGTTGCTCTTTTCTACCCTTTTTTCTTTCTTTAGGGAACTCCTTCCTCCTCTTTTACCCACCCTCAGATCCCCAGCTCCGTGCAGGCCATTTTTCCTTCCTATTAAATTAAAAGTGACTTGGGGGGAGCATTGTCAGTCAGGACCCACATAGGATAGGTGTGAGGTCATGCACCTGTACGCAGGCCTTCTCCTTTACTGAGGGTGGGAGGAGGAGGGGACTCTCCTTGTCAACAATGCTTGGTCATGTAGCAGTGAGAATAAAGACATCAGAACACAGGTAGAGTGAGACCTTCCCTGTCACGGAGTTTGGCTACTTTTAAAAAACATGTGGAATTCTATTTCACTATGAGAAGACCCCTGTGTGGGAGCTGGCCTGTGGGGTTTCCTTCGCAAGGGGCAGTCCTGTTTTTAAACTAGATTGCAGTTCCCTGGGTGCCTGTGCAGGACGAGGCAGCCGGCAGAGGCTAATGGTGTGTAGGGGTTTTGCTGAGAGGTCGCTGGCTGAGCCCTACCCCCAGTAACTGAGATTCTCCATCTCTCACCTCTTTCCACATCCTGGTGGGATGGCTGCAGGCACTGACCTGCTGGAAGAGCATCTTGGTGAAATCCGGAACCTGCGCCAGCGCCTGGAGGAGTCCATCTGCGTCAAGGACTGGCTGCGGGAGCAGCTGACGCCCTGGCTCAGCTCTGCTGCCCGCGGAGGTAGGAGAGGCCTGGGTTCCTCCTTCCAGCTGTATTTAGGAGCTTCTGAAGGGAGGCCACGTGCAGAGCTTCGCAGATTTCAAAGCATTTGATGTGCTTCACTTCACTTGCTCCTTACAAATAGTCCAGCACGAGTGGGGGAGAGTGCTGTGAGCCCTACTTTACGGGCATGTCTGAGGTTAGAGGATAACGTTCCTCAAGGCAGGACCAGGTCTGCGCCCAGAGTCATCTGACCCCTTAGCAGGTCCTTCCTCGGCCTGCGCACTGCCTGCTGCTCCTGGTGCCATTGTCCTGCGAGTGGCCAGTGGTAGGACCAGTTCTGCGGTGGTCTTCCTGTCCCTCCTAGGGTTAGGACCTATTGCTAAGGTGGCCTTCCTCCCTATACCCTGCTGAACTACTGTCACCGAGAGGCCAACCCTTCCACCTGTTGTTGCCCTGTCTACACCACAGCAGCTGCTATTTAGAAGGAAAGAGCCTCCTGTACCACTGAGGTCATGGCACATGATAGAAAGAATCCACGCTTTCTTTAGCCGCAGGCTATGAGTCCCCAGGGTTTTCCACTGTGTTGGGACAGTATCTTTGTGAGATACAGAATGGGATGTTTTTGGAAGCATCTGTTGCCCTAATGTGTACTTTCAGGGACAGGATCCACCTCTAACATCTACAGTCAGGTCCCAGAGTCCATTCCTCAGCTTTTCAATGAGTACAGAGCCCTCAGTGAAGAAAACCGAAGCCTTCAGGCTCAGCTGAGTCACGTTTCCAGAGGTGGGTGGTCAAAACCTGCAAACCACGGTCAATTCTAGATCCCTCTCTTCCCTGCTCATACTACTCACAATTGGGAAAGCAGAGAGAAGAAGGTACAGATAACAGGTCTACACAGATCCACTGATCTAAAATTCCAATAACTATTTTCAGTCTACAAAGGGCTGCTTCCTCAGAGGTCTCAACTGTGGGCCTCAGACCTCCAGCTCCAGCAGGGAATAACTCCAGGAAATCCATCACTTCTATGCAAACCCATCTGCGTGTATCCAGAGTCACTTGCTATCACGCAGGATACCAGTTTACTATCTATTCTATCTCCTCTCATGCACAGCTGATTTGGAATAACGAAAGGAAGGAATATGAGTACCTATATTCCCTCTCAAGTTCCTACAGACTTTGCTGCAGTTAAAGTCCCCTGGTCCTGCTTTGCCACCTCTCCTCCTGCCCCCCACATCCATGCACACAGGACTCGTGTGACTCTGTGTTGGAAGACGCCTTAAGTGGATCAAATCAATGTATTATTAATAACACATTATTTTAGTTACAAATATCTATTGAACAGCCATAAAAGATTGGGACTAGTATCCAAAAGGATTAAGCCCAGAATGAAAGAATGCTTGTAGGAAAGGAAAAAGACACCAAGAGATATTTCCAAATTAACTACCTCAGAGCAAGAAGACTCAAGAGGAAAGGTCATTGCTTGGGGAAGATAACAAAAGTTAAGAAAGCAGGCAGTTCCGCTAATCCCTCATTGCCTGCTCCAGGAAAATGGAGCAGACCTGACAGTAAGAAGACAGTTAGAGATCAAATGAGGGCCATTGCCAGGTTCAGTCCACCCCAGAGCACTGACCTCGCCTGCAACCTTCTCCTCAGAGTCCCTGTCAGTAATCTTAGGGGACCTGTGAGTATCAGAGACGTGCTACCAGTCCATAAAAGAACAAATGTCCCCATTTTCAAAATTATGAAAATGATATATTCTAAAAAATCTTTTTTTTTTTTTTTTTTTTTTTGAGATGGATGCTCACTCCGTCTCCTTCGGTAGAGTGCTATGGTGTTATAGCAACCTCCAACTCTTTGGGTTCAAGTGATCCTCTTGCCTCAGTTTTTCTATTTTTAGTACAGACAGGGTCTTGCTCTTGCTCAGGCTGGTCTTGAACTCCTGAGCTCAGGAAGTACCCCACCCCCACCCCCGCCTCAGCCTCCCAGAGCACTGGGACGCAGGCCTGAGCCACTGTACCTGGCCCTGCAAAGAAATCTTGATGTTGATCTTTGTCAACATCAAATGGGTCAGTGAACAGATGGTATATGGGACTCAGAAAATGGTAGTGTTAGAAACCAGTGTGCTTTCTCTAAGAGTGAGGTAGGCCAGACTGAGGGGAGTGAAGGGCATTGCCAAGAAAGAGGTGCTCTGTTCCTCGTGGTTTGTGGGACAGTGAGACGGACTCTCTTTGTCCACCCACACAGGACCCTCCTTCCCTACCCTCAGTTCTGCATGTCAGGACGAAGATGCTTGGCCCTGTGAAGTAAATACTCCTGTGTTCTGCTCCCCAGAGCGCTCCCAGGAAGCAGAAAGCCTGAGGGAGGCTCTGCTCTCCTCACGATGCCGGCTTCAAGAGCTGGAGAAGGAGCTAGAACACCAGAAAGTGGAAAGGCAGCAGCTTTTGGAAGACTTGCGGGAGAAACAGCAAGAGATCTTGCATTTCAGGGAGGAACGGCTATCTCTCCAGGAAAATGACTCCAGGTAAGAAGGGACCCGTTAATAAAGAAGCTGGCCCCATTTTTACATTGAAGAAGGGATATTGGTTAGTGTATTCTTTTGGAAACCCCAATTTCCCTTCTGCTATTCCTGATTTAGGGGTAGCTTTGAGCAGAAGGAAGGACTTCTCTGGAGTGTCTTTTTCACTCCAAAGTGAAGAGAGTAAATCCCTGTTACAGAAGGCTTCAGCATTTCAGGGACTGGAGAAAGAACGTTTCTCCAGTTAGATATAGGACATTGGTCACACCATGACTGAGGAAGCTTCTGTACTAGCCATGAAGCTTTTTCCCAACACAAGCCCTGTAACTGCCTGTCACTGTGAAAAAGCCCTGGGGGAACAGTAAGAGGACTGCTGGTGTCGCTGTCCTGCTCCTGGCTAATGGAGCTAATGTTATGCCTTCAAGCAAGTGACTTTCCTCCTCCCAGCCTGTTTCCACATCTATAAAGTTAAAGTGATGGTCTTCATGACCCCCCAAGTTGACTTCTGGGGGGTTGGCTCCCACCTGATTGTCCCAGTGTGACCGAGAGGCCCCACCACCTCCGTGGGCCCTTGCCTCCCTCTCCCCCGCCAGGCTGCAGCACAAGCTGGCTCTCCTGCAGCAGCAGTGTGAAGAGAAGCAGCAGCTCTTCCAGTCCCTCCAGTCGGAGCTGCAGATCTACAAGGCGCTTTATGGCAATTCCAAGAAGGGGCTGACAGGTATGTGCTCTGCACCCCCTGCCGTGCGCGCTCTGCCCTTGCTTGAGGTGGGGGTGAGGCCTTGCTTCTGGGAGTTACACAGGTCATGGCAATCTTCAGAGTTCTGTCCCAGAAATCCCCCAGTCAGGCCAGGGCTCCTGATAAGAAGAAAGTGGAGCTGTCATACCCAGAATCAAAGGTGAGATGTTGGTGATGTGAGCAAGATCCAGTCTGAACATCCTTTACAAGAGTAAACTTGACCACTTAGATGGCCAAAGACAAGGTAGTCACATGTCTAGATTATAGCTTTATTTTTTTTAGAGAGATAATGTCTCTCTCTCTTGCCCAGGTTGGAGTGCAGTGCTGTGATTATAGCTCGCTCAAACTCCTAGGCTCCAGTCATCCTCTAGCCTTGGCCTCCTGAGTAGCTAGGACTATAGATGTGTACCACCATGCCTGGATAATTGTTCTTATTTTTTGTAAGGTTGGTCTGGAACTCCTGGCCTCAAACAATTCTCCTGCCTCAGCCTCCCAAAGTGCTAGAATTATAGGTGTAAGCCACTACACCTGGCTATTTTTTTTTTAAAGCAAAGAATTATCCTAATGATATCTTCATTTAAAAAGGTATTTAATATTGTAACTAATACATACTGTCAACCCATATCACTAATGTAGCAGGCTAATGCACTCTGACTGACCCTTTCCCTCATGGGAAAAGATAAGAAAACAAAAAACATTATAGAAATACCAGTACTAGGACCTAAATTTCAATCCTAGGCTTAAATGTTAAGTGTACTTAATGCATTTTGTACCTGCTGAAATAATAATCTAGTATTTGAGAATCTTGGTATACTTCTCCATCTTTCTTAGAATGAAGAGGGTATTTGAAGCATAATGTTAATCCATCACAGTCAATGTGATGAAATTTAGCAAAGATAGAAAAACAAAAATCCTGAGCTTGATTAAAAATATCAGTGGCAAAAATACAGGATGGAGGGTTTGGCTCTGTAGCTGTTCACGGACATGAGGGTGGGGAGTTTGGCAGAAACATGTTTCGCCAAGTAAGTTGAGGCCAAGGGAGCTAGAAAAGCCAGTTCAGCCTGTGATCACAGGAGCGCGTGGTGTCCACACGTGGAGACCATGTCTGAACTTTGCTCAACTGAAGGCGCCATCTGTACCAGAGCATTGACACTCCAAGGAGCACAAGGAGGGCAGAGATCATAATGGTGTGAGACCAGAAACCTCGAACTGGTTAAAGAAGCTAAAACATTTTAGGCTTTGAAATGTTCATGAGAAGATGAAAACTGGCTCCAAATATTTGAAGAACTTTTAGGTGAAGAAGAACTGATGTGTTTCGTGTCCTTTTTGACATGACTGAGCAAAGGGAGAAGGGCAGTGGAATTTAGATTAGCATTTTTACTATTCAGGCAAATTTTATTTTCATAAAACTTGATTTAATTTCCTAAGTTGTTAAAGCGAGGGGGAACTAGAACTTGAAGACATTTAGGGGAGTCTTCAGGCTAACAGAACAGCTTAACACAAAATCATGATGTGTGTCAGGTCAGTGGGGAGACCAGCATGCCCACGGGGGAAGCTTGGGACCAGGGGTGAGAAGCCAGGCTGGGGGAGCAGAGAGTGGCCAGCATTCAGATAGCCTAGAAGTCAGGGTAAAAGTTTACATCTATGTAGTTGGCAATGAAAAGAAGTATTTTCTATTTCAAGCAAAGAAGTGCATGATGAAAACAGAACTTTAAGATGCTAAGTCTTGCAGTACATGCTGGAGTTGGGAGACTTTAGGATCCAGGAAACCTGCTGGATGAGTCTGTGATGGTCTGGGGCATTAAGAGGTGAGAGTCTACAACAAGGTGCTCCTAGGAAGATAAACGGGTTTGGATAGATGAGAAAAATTTAGTGAGCGTTTGGATTTAGGAAGAGAGGTAGGAACATCGTGGAACTCTGGACACAATTCAAGCATTTTTGGATAGATTATTTGCCAAAGCCTCTGAAACCACTTCATCCTGAACTACTGCCCTCTTGTGCTCTCCTCCTAGTTTGCGGGTCTTTTAGGACTCATTTCAAAGCTACTACCACCAAAGCTCCACAATCCCATATCTTTAATCCCCCAATCCAGTAAGATCGCTGAAGTGAAAGCTTTTTGTTTTGTGGAGACAGTCTCACTCTGTTGCCCTGGCTGGAGTGCCATGGTGTCATAGCTCACAGCAGCCTCAAACTCGTGTGCTCAAGTGATCCTCCTGCCTCAGCCTCCCAGCAGCTGGGACTATAGGCACTCACCATAACGCCCAGCTAGTTTTTCTATTTTTAGTAGAGATAGTGTTTTGCTCAGGTTTGTCTCAAACTCCTAAGCTCAAGTGACCACCCCCCCACCCCCACCCTTGGCTTCCCAAGAGCTCTAGGATTATGGGCATAAGCCACTGCTCCTGGCCAAAAAGCTTTTTCATATGCTCATTTGTTGACTACCTAACTGAACTTATGGGAGGATATTATAGTCTTTATCTACTTAATGAAAATATTCACATAGCTCATTGCAGAAATAATGATGTGTTTGATTAACAGCCATACATGTAATATGTGGTATATGCACCCTGCTGCCTTGCTAAGAACCAGAACAAATCCTACCTTTTGAAACACATTTGGCCTTAAAATTTTCAGATAAAGGATTGTGGCCTTGTGGAGTATTTCTTAGATCTCTTCATCCCCAGTACAAAGAAGTAGACTATATGTAGTAAATGGAGGTAAAGAAAAAACATGGAAAAATTGAAAAATTCATGTAGTTGCCCCTCCTCCCATAGAAATGGAAGGGTAAAATTGACAGTGGGGAATATGTGACAGAGGGAATGGCCTGGGGAAAAAAAATGACAAAAATTTTAAAGAAAAGTTCACATAATTGTGATTGCTGATCAGAGACACCTGCCTGCCATACATTCTTAGTACGCTCCCAAAAGGCCTCCTCTTTCTCTTTGAATTCTGAGTGCAAAGGCCATCAGATCTCCTTCTCCCTCACTCTCTGCCTTCCTGTAGCTCCATGCTGACCATCAGCCTTAGAGGACTCGGCCTTTAGCTACAGGCCTAAGGTTACTGGGGAGATGAGTACCAGCCTTGTCCCCGTCCTCCAGCCAAATGCCCTGCAGGTGCATGTGAGAACGTGTGTGCTGTCCCAGCGTGCCCCAGCCCCACACGGGAGTGGGGACGTCGTTATCAGGGACTGTGTTGCATGAGAATCTGGGATTACAGTACTTGGTGGAAAGGAAAGTCACAGTGGAGTGTTCTGATGGACACGTGCTTGGGAATACTTGGGTCAGTGCTACCAGCCCCATCCAGGCCATCCACCTGGATGCCTGTCACCAAATCCCTTTGGGCAGTGACTTGAGCCACCTGGTGACAGAGATTCAGGCTCTGAGAGGGCAGCTGGCTGAGAGCATTCAGGTGAACAATGGTCTGTGCCTCCAGCTGCAGCACCACCTGGAGGTGGGCGCTGTCCAGGCCAGCCTCAGACCCACCCCCACTCACCAGAACTTCCCAGCCACTGCGGACCCTGGAAGCAATCAGCTGGTCCTCCAAGGGAGGAAGGGAAAGGGACTTAGGAAGCCTTGGCCAGTGAGAGATGACCAGAAGGTCTGTGGTAGAAGGGGCAGTCTGTCTCCCTCATGCTCCTTAGGTTCAGGCTGAGGTTGGAGGTGCTCAAATGTGGCACCCCGCATGGGAACGTGGGGCTCAGATCAGATGGGCTCCCTCTACAGCAGTGATTTTCAACCTCAGCCACAAGAGAATCTTAGGTGTGAAATGAAGATTTTTAAAGACCATTAATTAAATTATTTTTGAAAGAAGTTCAAAGCACAGTAAATATATTGTTTTATTGTCTTTTTACTCTTTTTTTCTGATCAACATAATTTAAGTGTGCTACCGAAGCTTAACTGTAGATTCAAGTGTGCCATGAGATAAAAAAGGTTGAAAAATGCTGCTCTGGATTCTGAGTTTGTCTTTATAGATTGTTTTGCTTTGGTCAAGGTGTTCAAACTCTCAGATGTTTAAGCTTTAATTTCCTTATCTTTAAGGTGGGAATAATAATATATATACACTGTGTATATTTATTTTGAGCATTAAGTGAAATAATTTGCCAGTGCCTGGTGCCCAATAAGAATTGCTCAATAATTAGCAGCCATATAGTCATAGGATGCTATTTCCTTACATTTGCATAATAGTGCTTTAATATTTACCAAGTGTTTTCAAATATCTAATTTCACCTGAAGTAGAACAGATTCTGCTATCTCTGTATTTCACATGAGCAAACTTAGACGTTGAGATGCTAATGGACAAGCTGGGGTTTACAGGACACAGAGCCAGGCTCAGAGCCATCTTGACTTTCAGTCTGTGTCCCTTCCTCCTTCCTGTGCTCTCACTATTGCTGACCTTCCAAGATTCTGGAGTCTGGCTCCCCTTTCCTTCACACATGGGGAACTCAGTGTGTGGCAAAAATTCCCTGTCCCTAAGGAAACCAGGGCTCTGAGGAAGCGCTGCCGGTGTCTTGGCCATTAAGTAAAAAAAAGTGAAACTGCCAAGCACAGCCCCGGGGGGCCTAAGAGCTGCTCAGCTTGGTCCAGTAGAGAGACACTTTGCTCCCCGCAGGGAGCTGTGATGTCTGTAGTGTTCAGCTGTCCTCCTCCCCTTCCCTCTGGCTTCCAACTCCACTGAGTTCCACTGCTTCTCTTCCTCCTGCACCCAGAGGCCTGAGCTGGAGAGCAGCCTCTGAGCCCCACTTGCTGGGCAGGCCCTCCCTTCCATCTTCGTCTTCATGACATTCTCCGACTCCTCCATGCAGGGCTGCTTCCAGGCCTCCAGCAGGGCAGCTGTAATCCACTGAGTCTTAGGCCTTTTGTCTCTGAAGACTCAAGTTTTTCCACTCTTACATCATCAGAATGGTGACTAGAACATTGAGTTTAACCCCCTAGGAAACCATTCCTTCTTTGAGTCAGCATTTTAACAAATCCACTGGATATGCTTATGTATATTTCTGTCTCGTTACGAAGCGTTACATGAGACACTATATACAGACTATATTCAAACCTGGGCTTATAAAAATATACCCAATAATTGCTCAGACTAGAAGCTGATTTCTCATGAAACCCTTCAATTAAGAGAATATCTCTTTGTTTTGAAGAATGGAAACACACAGAGCTAAGCGACGTGGTTATTGCTTTTGCTTGTGGTGTGTGGGTAATTATGTAAGAGGTGAGTCCTGCTGCCTCAGGGCCTAGGCAGTGAAGACCAGGCTGCACGTGTGTGGGGTGTGCAGCACCATCAGGGCTCCTGAAAACTGTGGTTGTCTCCACTCCCTAGACCCAGCTGCTTCCCCGCCAGTCCGGGACGTTGGCATGAATTCTCCAGCCGTGGTCTTCCCCAGTTCTTCTTCCTCTGCTCCTGGCTCAGAAACTGCCACATTCAACAGGACAGATGGTAAATATTATTAAAGAGCTCACAGGCTAAAGATGCAAAGTTATTAATGCAAAGAACACTGGGTTGCCAATAGACCCATTATATTTACTCAGAGATTCTTCTCTGCACGCCCCGGGCCTTTAGCCCTCCTCACTGCACCTGCTGTGGCTGCCTGTCTTGCCATTACCCATCTGCCTGTTCTGTTTGTGCTTCCTGGAAGTTACTCTCCCTGTTCTTGGGAATGCTGCTGTATTTACTTGATTTCCTGTGTCTTCTCTACCCAGAAACTTATTAGTTATATTTGTTCTCCTTGTTTCATTTGTCAATAAGGAAAAAATTTGTCTCCTGGAAAGTTTGTCATTATGAGATGATGCAAGAAATATTATAAAAATATAGAACCCAAAATATCTCTCTGGACTTCATGCCACCCTTGTGCATTCCAAAGCTTCCTTTCTCCTTTCTCTTCCTATTCTTTCGGATTGAAGTGAGCTAAGGATATCATGATGAGTAACAGTGGGTTCTGCTTTGTTGTGGTTTTCTTTTTCAGGCCTGAGTGTGGATACTTCTCCAGGAATGAAGAGCTCTCCCAAGTTGGAGGGCGATGCTACTGATGGCTCCTTTGCCAACAAGCACGGCCGGCATGTCATTGGCCACATTGATGACTACACTGCCCTAGGACAGCAGATTGGGGAGGGCAAAGTGCTGGTGAAAAAGATAGCGTCTCTTGTGAGGCCATCGTGTAACTTCCCCGGCCTTGAAGCTCAGGGCACAGAGGTAATCACACCTGTAGCTTTAGGCATACTCTTTCTTTGTGCCCTTTCTTGCTTTGACTTAGCTCCTTCTCCTGCTATTTTTCTTCATTCTTTACATCTCTTGACCGCTGAGGATACCTCTTCCGTTTATAGCAGGCAAGCCCTTTCTTCTTTGTCTCGTTTTTGCTATAAGTTCTGCTCTGTTCCAGACTGGACATTTCCCCTTGACTCACTGAAGAGCCCCTGTAGTCTTACTGCCAACATGAGTAGAGCATTTGTTAAACATAATACACATGGCACTGTACAGAACTCACTTTGGTAGCTTATGATCTGTTGTAGTCACCCAGGCACTTGGCCATCTGTAAGCAGAATAAAATCAACCAGATGAACAGGAATGGAGGGATTTGCAGGTGTGGGAGCTTGGTGGCCATGGATTTCCTAGTGCTGTCAGCATAATATCTCACAGTGCTTCTCTGTTGGGAGAGACCAAGCACCAGGGGCTGTGCTAACAAAGATGATGGAGACCCATGAGTGCAGGGGGACAGCTGTGCCTCTAAGGATCCCTCACAGGAAAGGTCAAGAAATGAGCTGCAGGCACAATGTGAGAAGGTGTCATCTGTGTTATGAGGGCATGAATGCAGAAGTGGTCATTTATCACAGGCAAGGAAGGTGACAGGTTCACAGGATGTAGCGGGGGGATGAGTTTTAGAGCCTCGTCGATTCTCCAGGCAGAGGAGGCCGTTCCTGGTAAAGGAAGCAGCATCTTGGTCCTTGGAGTTGCAAATGGCTAAACAAGTGTTTCTTAGATTTGAGCAGACCCAAGTCTCACTGTATAGCCCTGGGTAGAGTACTGACTGTGGTGTCATAGTTCACAGCAACCTCAAATTCTTGGGCTCGAGTGGTTTTCTTGCCTCAGCCTCCTGAGTAGCTGGCAGTACAGGCACCTGTCACAATGCTTAGTCTTTCTATTTTTAGTACAAGCAGAGTCTCCCTCTTGCTCAGGCTGGTCTTGAACTCCTGGGCTCAAGTGATCTATCTGCCTCAGCCTCCCAGAAAGGATTAGGTGTGAGCCACTGCCGCCGGCCAAATCTCCCCATTCCAATGATATCCACGGTTCCCTCCACTTTTCCCCAGGTCCTGGGCAGAACAAGCATCCCTGAGCTTCTGAGCAGTGCCAATGCCCTACACCAGACCCTGGAGGAGTCAGCTTCCCTCCTCACCATGTTCTGGAGAGCAGCCCTGCCAAGCACCCACAGGCCCGTGCTGCCCAGCAAGGTGGTAAGATGCTAGCATCCTTTCCTGATTCAAACCCAGCTCTCTTGCTCCTCAATATTGTTCTGTCTCCTCATCCCCATAGCTTCTTAGATCAGGAGTCACATAGTGAGTTGGGATAGTTAGGACCTTTGGGGAATGTCTCTGGAAGGGGACCTCTGATCCATGGTGGCAGCTTTCATTGAATCTCCGACAACATCCTTCCTCCTCTTACCTCCAGACCCTGGATAAGAAAACAGAGAGGAAGAGGAAGGGATATGGAGGAGGCAGAGACACAGTAGCCCTGGTAATCAATATATGTTCAGTTTCTTTACCTGTATGAAGTTTGGCTGAGCTGAAATTTGGGAGTATGTCAAAGCTTCAGATCTGCACAAATGACTACAGAGTACCTTGACATGGTGAGCTTCCATTAGGCACTCCAGGACCCTGGCATATCATTTAAGTCTGCACATCTGGCCAGGCCTGGGGAAAGCCAGCCACCTCTCAGATCCATCAGCTCTCAGGCTGGCTCTGGTCAGCAGAACCTTGGGTAGTCAGGTTTCAGGATCTCAAGAGTTCTAGCTTCAGATCAATGTTGCTGATACCTTTTGGGCCCCAACTGTGCTAATTTCAGGGAGAAGGTACTTTGTCATCTTCATGTTGGCACAAATAGTCACAAACTTACACAAACTTTCCCTGGATCAGACCTGTGTCCTCAGATGTAACATTCCTGAGCTCCCAAGTCTCACTTGTGATAGGGGAGGGACAGAATTAATGTCAGTGCTAAAACTGAGGTCTTGTTCACAGTTGGGAGCTCAAGCCAGCTTGTAGCCAGGCTCTCTTCAGCAGTAGGCATGTTGGCCTGCGCTAGTCTGCATGGGTGTCCAGGTCCTCTATGTTCCTTCCCAACGGCCCCATCCTAAACTGTCCTCGGCTAGAGGGTTCTCAAGGCCTTAATGGTGGGAAGCAAGGCCACAGATGGGCAAGAAGGTCATGGAAAACCCTACATAGAATTAGAAAGATCCCCGAGACACAGGGTGCTTCAGGTTTTCTGACTATTGATGAGAGCCTGTTCCTCTTTCCCAGGGAGAAGCAACAGAAAGAGAACTTCTGGAGCTGAGAACCAAAGTATCTAACCAGGAAAGGCTCCTTCAGAGCACAGTTGAGCGTCTGAAGACTGCCACCCAGCAGGAGAAGAGCATGGAGCAGTTCATCGTCAGCCAGTGTAGGTGGCCCCAGGCCAGAAACGGAGAGGAAAGGGGGGTCTCCAGATGCCCCCGTCCTGCTACAGATGAACAATGACCAGAGAGGTGTGGGGATGTCCCTGAACGTCCTGGACCATCAGAAATTGTGGATGTAGAGGGAGGGGAAGACGGGGAGCAGCAAGAGTCCCCTGCTGGTAGAAATGCTGATAGAAATGCTTTAGAACGCAGGCTCCCAGGGAGGGGCCTGCTGGTAATCTGTTCTGTGGGGCTGTTTTGTTGTCGTTTCAGTGACCAGGACATATGATGTTTTGAAGAAGGCAAAGACTAATTTGAAGGGAAGGAAACCACTACACCAGTCAGAGGCATGGAGCCTGCCCCCAACCCATCACCAGCTGTCATCAGAGTCTGTAGGGGACCCTTGTCCCAGAGAAGACTATGGGTCAGCCTGCAGGATGGCAGGTCCGCAGTGAGTGGCCTGCGGGCTTCATCCCCATCACCCTCCCAGCCAATCAGCTCTCACGTCGTCGTCTCTCCTTTTCACTCCAACGTTCACTCTTTTATGCCAAGTCAGGGAGTCTGGAGAGTGCAAGTCAGTCAACCCTGGAGGTCAGCAGGCATGTGGGGGTCTGCCTCTGCATCAGCTCTTGGTAAAGGGGTCTCAAAGCCAGTTTATGTGTTCTGTGTTCCCTATATTTCTTTATGAAAAAACAAAAGCAAGATGCAATCTAATAAATGGATTTCACTGCACACTCCTGAGTTGAAAACAGCAATTTGATTTTGATGTATCTTTTTCTTTAAGTAACATGATGAAAGAGATCTGTTGGGTCTTATTGATCTAAAAGAATTTAATAATAAATATTATCTACATTTACTTAAAACATTAAATGTTAAGCATCCCCTCAGAACTTAACAAAAACTTGAGGTGTACTAAATGGCTTAAAAATCAGAAACTATGTCAGCTAATGTGCACAATGTAAGGATATACGGCAGAACTACAATTTGGACTTTACCTAATGCAAACAATGTAATGTAATTGTTTGTACCCTCATGTTAATCTGAAACTTAAAAAAAGAAAATAAAAGAGAGAGAAAAATCAAAAACCATTTAGCCTAAACTTTCAAGCTTTGCCATGAGCAACTGAACATATTCCTAGGGATGGTCCTAAATTGTAACATGAGGGAACGTTGATCCTCCTAGTGTGAAAATGACTTGCGCAGTGATTTAACTTAATATTTTGTTTGTTTGGGTTTTCTGCTAATTCCCTTTTGTTCTTCTCTGGTGACTCCTTTCCTTCCTGAGCCTCTTTAGAACAACACTTACAAGATTGCCTCTGTAAAGCCTATTCCTGTCCCAGCAAAGGTAACCCAACAGTCTCTGGTACCGCCAGCCCACAGTGTGGAAGCTGCTTTTGATTGTTGAAAAGGGCCCAAGCCCTGGGTCCTAATCCCAGGCTATCACTAACTGGCGTGTGGCTTTGGCTGGCTCTTAGTCTCTGTAAGACTTCTGCCCCTTATCTGGAAAAGGGGGGCTGGAAGCAGATGATTTCTGAGGTCCCTGATGACTTGGCCCCTCCTGATCCTCACAAAGGTTGCTGGGACCCAAGCATAACAGGTGACGTCTCTGCAAAGTGTGCTCTTCTTCCTACAGCAGGCCTTTTCTGTATGCATGCATTTCACGTCGAGCACTTATTTTTCTGGGAGAGGGCAAAGACCTTCATTTTTGCTGAGACATAGTGACTTGAGCAGGGAACTGGCCCCTAAAATCTGACCACCCGGTGTGCAGTGATTCCCAGCACACAGGGAGGTGGGAGGCTTTTCCTCTACCTGGGGCATCAGCTGTTCTTCCAGACTGCAGTGCATGCCCTTAGTTCATTCTGTTAGCTGGCTCTCACCGTGCTCTCAGCTTGGTCACCACGTACCTCTCACTCCAGCCTCAGGTACCTATGAGCAGGGCCTGACAATACACAGTGATTTGGTTTGTTTTATTTTTGTCTGCAGGTGAAATTCCTAAGGGCTCTGCTGTGCACTCCAGCCTTGTGACCCTTGCCTTCCATGGAACCATGGAGGAACCATGTAAGAAGCCCAGCCACTGCAGATCCTTAAAACAGCAGGAAGGATGGCCTGTTCCCCTTTTGTGCAGCTACCCATCTGCTGAGGAAAATATTCCTCCAAACCTCACTTCTCCAAACCTGGAGGGTCCAGAAGAGGGAGTCAGAGATATGTCCTGGTGAGACTGATGGGAAGGCAGTTACAGAGTGCCATTAGCCAAGGTCTGCTTGGCCCAGCCTACACAAAAAGTATAGTTTGCATAGAGCTTTTCGTGAAACTGCTTCTAAATAGCCCCAGTGGCTTGGGAACTAGCAACCGTACAATTCTCACCTCATCAGCTGTCCTGAGATGGAAAACTCAGTGGAAATACAACCTTGAATCTTTTGAATGAGTCGAGTGGTCCCAACACTGGAGCTTCTTGGGCAGTCCTAAAAGCACAGAACTGAGCAATGGCGCCCTGCTAGATGGTGCTGGCAGGGCCTCAGCGCATACTACTCATAGATCTATACCTGAGCCTGGGCCATCTCCCTTGGGACAAACTGGGCTTTAGTCTACACGTAGCACCTCAGTTCTTTGAGTTCACATCATAAATGTGGTGACTTCCCAGATTCCATCTCAGGCTTAGACTAGCACCTCCTATTTCTTTTCTTATATGAACTGGATTGACCTCATTCTAAATATGCCATCCCATTTGTCTTCCTATCCTAACTTAGGAATAGTGGGGATTGATGATCAGATGAAGCCAGTTGAAATTCTTGCATTCAGCACACCTGTGCTCATTTTTAAGTGGCCTGGGAAAGGCACCCAGTCATGCAAAAGCTTAGTCTGTGTCTTCACAGTGCTTATAGAATGTGTGTTAGTGTGTATAAATGTATGATATAGATTTATATATGTTGCTATTGCCATATGTTGAAGGCCAACATATCTGGTGGACACAATTGGTGAGAGGAAATGAAATGGTCTTTTTGGTCACTATTAAAGCAAAATATGTATAAATACATAGTTTTTCTTTGACTACTTTGTTTCCCATTTCTTCAATAGTCTCTTGAGAGTATAAGAATAAGAAAAAGAAACTGTGGTTAAGAAGCTTATAATCTAACTTTAAAAGATTAAGGTTGTCCTCCTTTGTCATTTTATACGAATCCTCGGTCTGAAAATATGAAGACTAATTTTTAAACTTGGTGTACCATATAATCAGCTGTGGGAGGTATGAGAGCTACTTCCCGGGCTTCAGTCTCAAAAGACTTAGTTGGCATGAGTCTTTAAATCTTTAATTTTGTACATAAGCATCCCAGGTGATTCTGTTGCAGGTGGGCTATAGACCATTGTTCTGTAACACTGAATCAAATGATTTGTTTAGGAAAGGTATAAACAAATACTGAAAAGTATATGTAATTCCATAGACATTGGTATAAAGATTTTAAAATATTCCTTGGGAAATGTCCTTAGCTATAATACATCCTTTTGACCTCTAAAATTAAAATAAAGCTATCGCTCCACAATTATTTTTTAGAAACATTTAAAAAATGAAAATGAGTAGGAAGTACAGAGTAAAATGGTAAAATGTGGAATATAACTCTCCAGTGATGGTCCCCCTAGAGGAACAACAAATTGCACAACTATATGCACAACAAAATACTTTCAGAAGAACTAAATAATGAGGTAAAACATCACAATGCCTAATTTTAACATAATAACAAGAAAAGACACATGAAGAGTGTAAAAAGAACTTTCTCTCATTGCTAACAACACCCCTTCCCCAAGCTTAGGCAGTGCGTGCAGAGAATCTAACGGCTTGAAGATGAAGAGGAAAGTATGGGACTTGTACTGGAACTTAGTACCAGCCTCCACCAAAGGTAGAGCACACTACCAGGCCTTTGATTGCAGGCTGGTGCTCACAGGGGAGCATTTAGACCTGCCCTAGGCCAGAAACAAAGCTGTTGCCTACCAGCTAGAAACTAAGTTCCAGCCTGCTTTAACACTGGATGACTAAAGTGAGCCTTGAATAAATTTCAGTGGCAGGCATGCCATAATAACCACAGTCTTTGGATGAGCCCCATTGCTACACAGGTCTGGGAGGCCATAGGTTTGGGGCACAACTCAGTGTGACATCAGCTGCTACAGCAGCCACAGAAATGCCTGCATCACCACTCTTCCAACTCCATGCAGCTCATCATGGAGAAAGATTCCTTTTGTTTGGGGCAAGAGAGGAAGGTGAGCTATGGGCTTTACCTCAGAACCTGGGGCACACTTCTGGATCTTGGACTGGGGAATCCAGGAGTCTGCAAGAGTCACTAGGTACCTGGGCTTAGGGCGCCCTCTAGTGCAAAAATGGCTGCAGTGACCATAGACTTAGGGAACTCAATAGTCCTTAGAAGGTTCTCTGAAAAAGGATAGATACAAACAAGGTCTGACTGTGAACACTGGAATAAGTATCTAATCTTTTAATTCTCAGACATCCAAAAGCATCAAGAACATTCCTGTCTCACCAGGGTTAGGTCAGGTGCCTCCCTGGTGAGACAGGAATGTGTGATCTTTTGGACAGCGAATGCAGAATAGCTGTTTTTGTGGAAGCTCAATGAATTCCAAAAAACAGAGAAATAATCAGAAATTTCTCAGAGAATTAACAAGGAGATTGTAATTTTAAAAATCAAATAGATATTGTGGAGCTGGAAAATACATTAGAAGTTCTCAACAGCTGAATTGATCAGAAAGAAGAAAATCAGTGACCTTGATGACAGGCCATTTGGAAATACAAAGTCAAAGGAGAAAGATGAATGAAAAGTAACAAAGAATGCCTATGAGATCTTGAATATAGCTTCAAAAGAGCAAATTCAAGATTCAATAGCCTTCAAGAAGAGAGAGTTATGAAAGAGCAAAGGGTAGAAAATTTAGTCAAAGAAATAATAACAGAAAATTTTCCAAACCTAGAGATTAATACAATATGCAGGTCAAAGGTCAACAAACAGATTCAACCCAAATAAGTCTACCCCAAGGCATATCATACACTCTCAACAGTGAAGGACAAAAATAGGATTCTAAAAGCAGCAACAGAGAAGTAAATAACCTGTACAAAGGCTCCAATGCATCTTGCAGCAGACTTCTCAGTGGAAACCAACAGGCCAGGCAGGAGGGACTAGGATGACACATTCAAAGTGCTGAAGAGAAGAAAAAAAAGAACAAAAAAACACTGTCCACCAAGAATAATATACCCAGAAAACCTATCCTTCAAGCATGAAGAAGTAAAGACTTTCCCATACAAACAAAAGTTGAGGGAATTTATCACCCCCATTTATAAGAAATGCTAGAAAGCATTCATCAATCTGAAGGAAAAAGATGTTAACATTCAACAATAAAATATTCAAAGGCATAACACTAATTGATAAAAGTATACAGACAAATGCAAATACTCAAATATTGTAGGTATGGTGTATAAAATTCACATCTTTTGCATGAAGACTGAAAGAGAAAACTGTTTTAAAAATAATTAGAACAATTTGTTAAGAGCTAAGCACTATAAAAGGATGTAAATTGAGACATTTAAAAGTCAAAATGTGGGGTGGACTTCAAAGGTAGATTTTTAAGTCCCCCCCCCCCGGTTTGTTTGATCTCTTATTGTGCTTTTCTTTGCATTCAAATTTAAGTTGGCATCAAATAATAAGTCTCTTATTATTTATTTATTTATTATTTATTATTATTATTTATTTATTATTTAATGACAAATTTAAGTTGGCATTAAAATAACTGGTTATAACTATAAAAGGACCAGTACAACAGGAGTATAAAATAATTATAAACATATATGCAGCCAGCATTGTAGCACCTAAATATATAAACTACATATTAATAGACCTAAAGGCAGAACTTGACTACTATACAGTAATAGTAGAGGACTTCAACACTCCACTTTCAGTAATGAACATAGATCATCCAGTCACAAAAGTATTGGAGTTATACTGGGCTCTAGATCAAATGGACATTTACAGAACATTGCACCCAAAAGCTGCAGAATACAGACTATTCTCAACATACATGGAAGAGTCTCCAGGACAGACCATATGTTTGGCCATAAAACAAATCTTAAGAAAATTTTAAAATATCAAAATATCAGGTGTCTTTCTGACCACAATACAATAAAACTAGAAATCAATAACAGGAGGAATTTTGGATTCTAATATATGGCTTACACAACATGCTCCTAAACAACCAATGAGTCAATGAAGAAATTAAAAAGAAAAATACAAAATTCCTAGCGATAAATGAAAATGGAAACACAACATGCCAAAACCTACAGGATACGGAAAGAGCAGTATCCAGAGGGAAGTTTAGAGCAATAAATGCCCACATCAAAAAAGGAAGAAGAGCTCAAATAAACCTAACATTACACTTTAAGGAACTAGAAAAACAAGGACAATCTCAAAACAAGCACAATCCAAAATGAGGACAAGGGAAGAAGTAATTGAAGATCAGAGCAGCAATAAATGAAACAGAAACTAAAAAATAAATAGAAAATATTAACAAAACAAAAAATATCTAAAGATAAACAAAATTGGTTAAGTCTTTAGCTAGACTAAGGAAAAAAGAGAAAAATCTGAAATTGATAAAATCAAAGATGAAAAAGGAGACATTATAACTAATACCTCAGAAATACAAAGTGTCCTAAGAAACTACTACAAACAACTATTTCCAACAAATTGGAAAACCTAGAAGAAATGGATGAATTTCTGGACACATACTACTTACCAAAGTTGAAGCATGAAGAAAGAAAACCTAATCAGACCAATAATGAGTAATAAGACTGAAGCAGTAACCATCAAAGGAAAGTCTGACACTTGATGGCTTCACTGCTGAATTCTACAAAACATTTAAAGAACTAATACCAATTATACCCAAATTATTAAAGAAAAAAAAAAACTGAGGAGGGGATACTTCTATACTCATTCTATAAGGCCAGCATTGCCCAGATACCAAAACCAGGTAGAAGTGCTGAAAGGAGGGAAAGAAGGGAAAGAAGGGAGGGAAGGAAAGAAAGGAAGAAGGGAGGAAAGAAAGAAAAAGAAAGACAGAAAGAAAACTCCTGGCCGTGTCTCTAATGAACTTTGATGC